TTATATTGGAGTGTCAGGGTAGACTAGGAGATCAAAGTATTGGCATGGGACTTGATTTCTCAGAGACGAGATGCTACCAACTGAGCCAGGCACCTTGGGTCTAGTATCTAGTCCTGTAGCTCAGTGGTTAGAGCACTCGCTTTGCAAGCGAGAAACCTGAGTTCAATCCCAGGCAGAGGGCGAAACCTTGGGCAAGTTTCCTTACTCCACACAGAGCCTAATAATAATCCCTCCAAAAAAACAAAAACAAAAATAAATTGGTCACTTTCAATCCATGACTGTTTGTGGGACATTGCTGTGCGCAATTGGCTGCCGCGTTCGCCCACAAATATACAGTCAATTCACTTTACAGTCTATTCTGTGAAGCGCTTTGGGACGTCCTCCCGATGTGAAAAGCGCTATATCAAATGCAAGGATTATTATTATTATTATCTGCTGTAAAATGTAAATTAGATTGGAGTAAAAAACACTTGTGGAGTCCTGTAGCTCAGTGGTTAGAGCACTCGCTTTGCAAGCGAGAGACCTGAGTTCAATTCCAGACAGTGCGAATCCTTGGGCAAGTTTCCTTACTCCACACACCTAATGATAATCCCTCCAAAAAACCAAAACCAATAATAAATTGGTCATTTTCAATCTACGACTGTTTGTGGGACATTGCTGTGCGCAATTGGCTGCCGCGTTCGCCCACAAATATACAGTCAATTCACTTTACAGTGTGTTCTGTGAAGCGCTTTGGGACGTCCTCCCGACGTGAAAAGCGCTATATCAAATGCAAGGATTATTATTATTATTATTGAAAAAGGACATGTCTCTCATGCGAAAGGAGCTCCATACTTTCAAGCTGTACATGGAAACAATGGGATTTCATTGTTCCTGTAAGGAGGATTGCTGGGTGGGGGGCGTGGGGTTCGGGGGGGAGATTTTATAAAACGATTGCCATTCCTCATTGATGTTTTCCATTCGTTAGCCCAAGGGTGGTGAAGCCAATTGTAATGCTCAAATTGATGCACTGAGATCAGCTAACTCAGTACCGACATGCTGGTGTGTGTATGGTATGTGTATGGCTCAAAGCCACAGCCTTTACCTGCTTGGCCAGAGGAGCAGCCTGAGAAAACTAAGCTGAACAGAGCCACAACTTTTACTTTACGCTCTGGATTTCCTGTGGTTTTCCAAAAGCAAATGTGAGCATCTAAAAGAGGAAGTGTCAAAATCACTCCCTCTTCATTCAAACAAGACAAAAGATGACGGAAAAGGACCTGAGTTTGATTCCTGGGCAAGGCGAAACTTTAGGCACATTTCCTTACTCCACACGCCTCTGTTTGCTTAGCAGTAAGTAGGAACACGTTTGTTACTTTTTGGGGATAATAATCCCATCCATTCTATTCCCCTCTCCTACAGACCTCTATTCCCTTCTCTCTGGCATGTGCATCAAGTTTCCTCTTAAATACATTGATGCTTTAACTACAGCTTCTCGCAGTAAGTTCTACATTCTCACCAACCTCTGCATGAAATTCCTCCTAAACTCCCTACTAGTTTAGCAGGAACCTGCACAGACGTACATTCCACCTCACTGACAGCTAATGTGTCAGTATGAGGCAGATATAAAGCCTGAGCAGACATTAATAAGTGTTAACAGCTTGGTATTGAATTCAACATAAAACAATATATTATGTACTTTATGCCCAAAGCCATGCATACTTATGCAAGTCATATGTTCCTGTCAATTCACACATGTGTCATTTTCACAGATAACGTGATAATCAGTTTTGAAGTGCTGGCATTAAATTAAGCGATTCAACTAAGTGTGTAAAGTGTGAGTCAAGCAAAAACATATATGGACATTGACAATAAATAAACATGATAGGAGATAAAAGCAACAACAACAGATTACGCTCGTATAGCGCTCTTCACATTGGAAAGACGTCCCAGGGTGCTGGATAATTTGGCGTTTTGGACTCAAGCTGAGAGTTGAGGTCAGGAGATGTGAAGGGCAGATGGGTGGAGTTGGGAGGGTGGCCGAAGGCACAGTCTAAGAGTGCCAGTCTTCAGATGGCACTTGAAGGAGGTAAGAGAGGGGGTGAGCCAGAGGGATTGTACGATAGAGTTCCTGAGTGTGGGAGCTGAGATGCTCAATGCCCGACCACCAATGGTGGGGCAGAAAGTGCGGGGGACCTGGCCAGACTGGTGTCCGGCAAGCGGAGAGGCTGATATGGGGATAGGAGGTCATAGAGGTTGGGGGCGGAGCAAGTCCATGGAGCGCGTTGAAGGTGGAGAACAAGGGTTTTGAACTTGATTCACTGAGCGATGGGGACCCAGTGAAGCCGGGCAAAGATGGGGGTGATGGGTTCGTGGAGCCTGGTGCAGGCAAGTACATGAACTGCAGAGTTCTGAATAATCTATAGCTTGTAGAAGGAAGAGTTGGGAAGTCCAGTGAGCAGGTAGTCAGCGTAGTCAAGTTAGGACATGATGAAAGCAGAGTTAAGGATCTCAGCCATGCGAGGTAATGGTGGAGGTGGGCAATGTTGCAGAGGTGGGGAAAGGTGGATCAGGTCACCACACAAATGTGGGGTTTAAAGGATAGCTGAGGGTCGAACAGGGCACCAAAGTTCCATATTAGCTCAGTGAAGTGTAGAGTGCAACCATGAATAGTGAAATTGTTAGTGCCTGAGGTGAGGAGGGCTCTGTCTTGCCAACATTGAGCTGGAGGAAGTTGGTTCCCGTCCAGGACGATGTCAGACAGACAATTTACCAGGACAGCAATGGCCCTGGAGTCGAGGGTGGAGCTGGTGAGATAGAATTAAGTGTTATCAGCATTCATGTGGAAATTGAACCCATGCCTGTGGATGATATCACTGAGCGAGAGCATTTATATGTTGAAGAGGAAAGGATCAAGGACAGAGCCCTGAGAGATGACACATGTGACAGTGCGGAGGTTAGAGGATGAGCTGTTAATGGACACAAAATGCAGACAATGGGAAACATTAAGATTGGAACCAGGCCAGAACAGAACCATTGAGTTGGAGGTGAGAGGAGAGGCGGTGCAGAAGAATAGAGTGGTCAACAATATCGAAAGCAGTCGAGAAGGATGAGGAGACAGAGAGAGCCCTGGTCGCAGGTGGACAGAATGTCATTTGTCACCTTAACCTGCTGTGAGCAGCATGAAACCAAGATTGGAAGAGTTCATGGAGGGAATGCTGGGAGAGGAAAGAGCGAAGTTGGGAAGCAATGACTCATTCCATGTCCTTGGAAAGAATAGGATGGTTTGAAATGGGGCGGTAGTTAGAAAGCGGAGATGGGTCAAGGGAAGGTGTTTGAGGCTTCCTTTAGGGGGATGGTTATGGTGCTAGTTGGCAGGGAGAGGTTAACAAGGTCTGTTAGTAGGAGGGCAAGGAGGGGGAGTTGGGAGGTCAGGAGAGGGGGAGGGATAGCATCAAGGGAGCAGGTGGGGGGTTTCACACCGGAAATGATGGAAGTGAGCGAAGAGGGGGAGATAGGGTTAAAAATGTGCAGGAAGGAATGGTGGGGCTGGAAGAGGAGTGGGAGATGGGGACGGGGTGGCGGTAGAGGGGCTAGAGGTGGCAGAGCAGATCCCCCCGACTTTGGACTCGAGAAAAGCCATCATTTAGGGTCGGAGGAGAGGATGGCAGAGGCATGGGAGGGTGGACAGAGGAGTTAGTTAATGGTAGAAAAGAGGAGTCTGGGTTTGTCCTTAGCTTCCAAGATGATTTGGGAACAAAAGGATGACTTAGCTGAGGTGAGGGCTGAGTGGTAGGTTTTGGTGCAGTCCTGCCAACTCTGATGCTTCATTAAAGCAGGGACTCAAAATCACGGACAGCCTTTCAGACAAGCTTCAGACATTCAAATGTTATTTGCTAATTTACTACAAGCCCTACCACTTTGCTGCAGGGCCCCAAATCAGAACCTGAATTTATATAGTCTTTAGATAACACTCCAATGTGATGCTGGTGGTGTATTGCATTGTTGGAGGTATCGTCCTTCAGATAAGATATTAAACCAAGGTCCCATCTACCTGATCAGGTGGACATTAAAGATCCCATGACACTATTCTTAATGGGTCAGCCTAGTTAATTGGTAGTGCATTTCCGCAATTACTGTTCCGTTCCACTGACATTTTCTCACATCTTTTAGGACCGTTCCTTCCAATGGGAGGTTAGACAGTCAGTGTTCGCAAGAGTCACAGCCAAGCGTGATCTTGTCCGAACTCTTAACCAGGAAGTGGAATCAGTGACAGCCATGAGAAGATCACCTGGAGCTCTTCTGCAGCAAAAAAATAAGATTCTTTTGAATAGGAATTAATTAGATGCTTGAAAAAGAAGAATGTTAAAGAATATGGAGAGCGAGTAGGAGAGTGGGGTTAGACTTGGTGGCTTGTGTGAGAGACCTGAGTTCAATTCCAGGCAGGGCGAAACCTTGGGCAAGTTTCCTTACTCCACACGCCTAATAATAATCCCTCCAAAAACCAAAAATAATAATTAAATTGGTCATTTTCAATCTACGACTGTTTGTGGGACATTGCTGTGCGCAATTGGCTGCCGCGTTCGCCCACAAATATACAGTCAATTCACGTTACAGTATATTCTGTGAAGCGCTTTGGGACGTCCTCCCGACGTGAAAAGCGCTATATCAAATGCAAGGATTAATATTATTATTATAAAGACTAAGGGAGACTTGATGGACCAAAATAACCTATTTCTGGGCTGTAACTTCCTATGATTGTATAAGTCACACATTTTGAAAACCCCAAAACATTTACTTATGAAACCAGATGCTGTTTTGATTGATATAAAATGACACTTGCTGCGAGAAATGCTTACCTCCCATTCTGTATTTGCCTGAAGGTAGGGCAGTACCTTCCCAACTGCACCCTGGAGCCCCCAGGGCTGATCTGCCTGTACTAAAGCAGCTCTGAGCACAGCTCAGCACTGAGATGCAGGAGCAAGATTACCTGGAGCCATCTTTAGCAAGAATTCGGGACGAAGATGCACAAATATGTAAAAACAGACTGGTATTGGCAAAAGAACGTTGGGAAAATCAAGAGACGGCTGGAAGATATCAAAAACCAGTGGGCAGCTGCACTGGGGTTGGACCTGAGTCACAGTGAAAGCGCAAGACTGGCTACAGATGCTCTGCTGGATAGTGGGGCTGAGGCTTACCACAACGTGCTGACTGAGGAGGGTGAGGTGGACTTTCTGTCTCCTTTAGAGATCCAGTACATCATCAGGAACTCCAAGGATGGTCAGCAGCTGGAGGAGACTAACAAGGAAGAAGCACAAAAGCAGCTTGAGGTGACAGATCTCTCCTCCAACCTGTCTGCCACCTACTTGCCAATGGTCTCGGAGAGCCATGGCCCCATGCTAGAACAAGGCTGGCCAATGTCTGATAAAAGGTACTACCTGAAGGGACCCTCAAACATCAATGTTTTCTTTCAGACTGAAAAATCCCACAACATCAAAGATATTATACGCCTGTACATCAGCCAGGCAACCGAGGTAAATGTGTTTCTCTAAAGTAATCCTCTGTGCGGGAATGTGCAATCAGATTAGGAGGCATTGAATAACTATTTCCGCAACGTCACCCGGCTCCGATACTATCTCACACCGCAGGCCGCCGAAACCCTCATACACGCCTTCATTACATCGAGGCTCAACTAGGCAAACTCACTGCTTGTTGGCCTCCCCAACGCCTCCCTCCACAGGCTGCAGATCATCCAGAACTCTGCAGCCCGTGTCCTCTCCTGCACCAGGCTCCGTGACCCTATCACCCCCATCCTTGCCCAACTCCACTGGCTTCCCATCACAGAGGATACATTTCAAGATCCTGTCCTCACCTTCAAAGCCCTCCATGGTCTTGCTCCCCCCTACCTCTGCGACCTCCTAACCCCCTACCATCCTGTTCACTCCCTCCGCTCAGCGGGCTCTGGCCTGCTTCACGTCCCCTTGCTCGCCCTACTATCAGCGGGCGGACCTTCCGCCACTCTGCACCACCCTCTGGAACTCCATCCCGCAGTTCCACCATCTCGGCCCTTCCCTCGCCACCTTCAAGACCCACCTCAAGACCCTCCGTGCTTCCCTCTGCGCCCCCCCACCCCTCCCCCACCCCGACCCTCAGCTCAGGTCCGAAATTCCCATCTGTCCAACACCTTGGGTCATCCTCCCACGTGAAAGGAGCTATATAAATGTCATTTTGTTGTTGTTGTGTCTGCTGGAGTGAGTGCTCACTCTTTCATTCTCCTCTCTCCTCTGTTTCTGGGAATATAAGGTGTACACTTAAAAGAAGCAGCAAATTATGGGTACTTAGAGAGATCGTAAGCCCGAATGCAATGAATAAACGATGCATGTAGATCAAATATCAGACGGGAAGTTCTAGTAAATGTATAAGCGGCACATTAAACACAGAGATTTATTCATATTTTGAAATCACTAGAGGTATGTTTTTTTAAGAAAATAAATAACACGCACAGCTGGTTTTATCAGGATTCCACCCACCTTAATCTTAGGATGAGGTCCTTATTACAATCAATGTTTTCCCAGCCTGTCCTGGAGGCGCTGACTCAGGCTAAAATAGTTCCACAGGTTTCTTAATAATATTAATAATAATCCTTACATTTCATATCGAGGACGTCTTGAAGCACTTTAAAGAATATGCTATAGAGTGACTGTATTTTGTGGTTGAACCAGCGCACAGCAATACCAATAATTCACAAACAGCCATGAAGTAAGTGACCAATTTTATTTGGGAGATCGCTGGCCGGAACACCAGGAGAAACTTTCTTTTCAAATAGTGCTACAAGATCTTTAACAGCCACCTGAACAGGCAGACAGGACCTCAGTATAATGTCTTATCCAAAAGATGGCACATCCAACAATGGAGCATTGCAGCACCCTAAGCACTGCATTGATGTGTCCACGTGGACAATATGGGTTCAAAGTCCCACCCTGGGGGCTTGAACCTACTATCTATCTTCTGACTCAGAGGCGAGGGTGCCACTAACTGAGTGGCACAGGGTGACACACAATTGATCATTCTTCATGTATAAGCCCTTGCAGGGAGCGTCAGCGAGGTACATGATCATAGAGGCATTGAAGCAGTGAGTTACACAAATAGGAGCACAGTTACTGAGGACTCAGCCTCCAGATGTAAAAGGTGCAATATCAAATTCAAAGATATTTATTATTATAATAATAAACTGGGCAAGTTTGGGCAAGTTTCCTTACTCCACACGCCTAATAATAATCCCTCCAAAAAAAAAAAACAACAAAAAAAAATTGGTTATTTTCAATCCATGACTGTTTGTGGGACACTGCTGTGCGCAATTGGCTGATGCATTTTGCCCACAAATATACGGTCAATTCACTTTACAGTCTATCCTGTGAAGCGCTTTGAGATATCGAGAAGCTGTGAGAAGCGCTATATCAAATGCAAGAATTATTATATTATTATATATCATGATTATTATAACAATTGTTTAAATTGCTGTTAGCTTCGATGTTACATGATTTAACCAAACATTTGTTTCATCAGATGTGCATGTTTGTTTCATTGCATAATGTTTAATTAGATTGATCGGTGTAGGAAACAATCAAAAACCGGAAATGTCAACACCTGCTATGCCATTTTTAGCTGATTTGTAGTAGCTCGGAATCCTAATCTGTGCAGTTATCCATCAGGCCAGAGGCTTGGGCCTCTATAATTTGCCTCAGCAATCACTGGGGTAAGGAGGGGGTTTCTAAGCCTTCTTTGTCTCAGTCTTTAAATCATTGCCTTAAAATTTAAGATCGGATTGAGTTTTAGAAAATTCTTAAATGCAAATATAATTTGGAAACAGTTTCCTGGATTGTTTTTTCAAAAACAGTAGGAAACTAACTGGCAAAAGTTGAATTTACGAACTGCACAATCTTACATTTTATAACCATTAGAAATCTTAGGTCTCAGATCACTATCCAGTGTTGTTTTCTGGAAAGGGTGTAGTAGATGTTGCTTTCAGGCTAACCAAGATCAGGCTTAACAGTAATAATAATAATAATAATCCTTAGCGTTTGATGTTGCTCCTTTTATGTTTGGGATATATTGTGAAGCGCAGTGTCTGTATTTTTTAAGCAAACACAACAACCAATTTGTGCACAGCAATGTACCAAAAACAGCCCTGAAATGACTGACCAATTTGATTTAGCAGATTGTTGGTCAGGAAACCAGGAGATACTCTGTTCTCTTTTCGAATACAATAGTACCATGGCATCTTTAACATCCACCTGGACAGGCAGACAAAATGTTGGTTTAACAGCTCAGCTAAAGGTTGGCACCTTAGATTTTATGACCAAATGTGAATTAAGAGCTAATGATTCTCCCCACCCGTTTCCCCAGTTAATAGCTATTGTGATGGACATCTTCACCGATGTTGACATCTTCTGTGATATACTCGAAGCAGCCAACAAACGAGGTGTCATAGTTTACTTGTTGTTGGACCAGAGCTCTGTAAAATATTTCAGCGAAATGTGCAAGAAACTCAAGATTGACAACAGCCACCTAAAGGTACGTTCTGTTACTGTAATAATAATAATAATCCTTTTTCATTTGATATAGCGTCTTTCACACCTGGTCTTAAAGCCTTCACAGGATTTACTGTAAAGTGTAGACTGTAATTTTTTGTAGGCTGTTTCATTAACCATGGGTTGAACTAGTCTACTTCAATACTACAAAATGTACAGCACATCAACAGCAAAGCTGCTGGCAATATTCTCGGGAGCTCAAACTCTAATTGGGAGCAAATAACAAAGCAAAGATTCTATCCAAGATCAATGTTGTTACTCAGAGTTTAAACTGAGCGGCCCCAAGGGTTTGGGACAAGGTTTATAAGGTTTTGTAAGGTTTGTACTTTACAGTAGTAGTATGTGGCACCTACCCTCTGGTTTCTTGGATCTCTGTTATCTTGCTTGGTCACATTGGTGTGAAGACCAGGTACCCGTTAGATGTGTCAGCCTGTCAGGTCTTTGAGTTCACAATCCACTCTGGGGCAGTGCTGGAGGAACTCTTACTTGTCAGAGGCGCTGTCATTCAGGAGACATTAAATCAAGGTCTGTTCAGATAGACATTAAAGATCCCAATTCATTATTTGAAAATAGAAGGAAGTTTCTTCTGGTATCCTGGCCAACAAACCTCCACATAAATTAAACATTCATTGTTATTTGTGGCTTTGCTTTGTGTCTACAAATACAAAGTCCTTACACTTTGGCTGGAATTACCTGTGAAGCACCTAAAGACAGTATAGGCATCATACAAAATGCAAGGATTATTACTAAAGTTATTATAATTCCCATTTAAGTAGAAAAACAAGTCCTGGCATGGGGCTCAAACCCATACTTTTCTGACCTAGAGGCAAGAGTGCTACAAACTAATGCATCAACCCCTTTAGTTATGTAGGGAAGATAACTGTAGGGGACAAAATAAAGAATGATGCTGTACATAATTCTGACTAAGTTAGATTAATAGAGAAGGAACCAAACTGATGATCAGGAAGTTAACAGTTGTTTGTATATTACCTGAAAACAAACTTTAAAAGTAGGAAAACATGCAAAATTCAGGGTTTATTATAATGCCTGATCACAAACTTGTAATTTGGCTAGGAAATTAGTTTAGTTTGGCTTTGGCTCTAATTCTCAGCATAAAGCTACAAGAGGAGATTCAGTAGAGCACTACTGCAACATAGAAGTTGTACTCAAATACAAATGGAGTTGGGTTTCTTTATGTGATACCTATTTAATTAATTCCTCATGAAATCTGGCACAGTAAAAATATTAAACCCTAAAATGAACATTTAATTTGAGTTTATGAATAAAAAAGTAGGTATTATAAATCAAATTATATTAAATACCACAGTATTCAGCTCAACATACATGTCTCAATCTTGTTTCAGTCGTCTCTGACTCCATCTTCTCTGTAATGTAGAATCATAGAATCATAGAATTATACAGCACAGAAGGAGAGGCCATTTGGACCATTGTGTCTGTGCTGGCCCTTTGAAAAGAGCTTCCCAAATCAATCCCACTACCCCCGTTCTCTACCCGTAGCTCTGCAAACGTGTCCTCCCCAAATAATTATCTACTTCTCTCTCAAAAGTTGTTATCGAATCGGCTTCCACCACCCTTTCAGACAATGCCTTTCAGATCCAAACAACTCGCTCTGTGAAAAAATTTGTCCTTACCTCCCCTCTGTTTCTTTTTACAACTATTTTAAATCAGTGTCCTCAGGTTACCGACCCGCCCGCCAGTGGAAATAATTTCTCCTTGTTCACCCTATCGAATCCCCTCATAATTTTTAAAACTTCTATTAGGTCTCCTCTTAACCGTCTCTGCTCCAAGGAGAATAATCCCAGCTTCTCTAGCCTCTCCTCATAACTGAAGTCCCTCATTCCTGGTGCCATCCTGGTAAATCTCTTTTGCACCGTCTCCAATGCCTTGACATCCTTCATAAAGTGTGGGGCCCAGAACTGAACACAGTACTCGAGCTGAGACCTAACCAGTGTTTTATAAAGGTTTATTATAACTTCCCGACTTTTAGCCCATATACTTTTTTAACAGCTTTATCTGCCTGTGCTGCCACCATCAAAGATTTACTTATATGAACCCTCAGGTCTCTCTGTTCCTTCACCCCCTTTAAGATTGTACCATCAGCTTATATTGCCTCTCCTTATTCTTCCTCCCAAAATACATCACTTTGGATTTCTCCACATTAAACGTCATCTGCCACGTGTTATGGCAGCATTTTACCAGTCTGCCTACGTCCATTTGCAGTCCGCTACTATCCTCCTCACTGTTTACTACTTTTCCAGCTTAGTATCATCTGCAAACTTGGAAATTGTACTCCCTATACCCAAGTCCAGGTCATTTATACAAATCAAAAACAGCAGTGGTCCCAATACTGATTCCTGGGGGACACCACTGCACACTTCCCTCCAGTCAGAAAAACAACCGTTCACCACCACTCTCTGCTTTTTGTCTCCCAGTCAGTTCTGTATCCATGCTGCCACTGTCCCTTTAATACCGTGGACTTCTATTTTGCTTAGAAGTCTCTTAAATTACACTTTATCAACCCCTTTTGAAAATCCATATAAACTACATCAACTGCACTACCTTCATCCGCCGTCTCTGTTACTTCATCAAAAAACTTTCAGGTTTGTTAGACATGATTTGCCTTTAACAAATCCATGCTGTCCTTTATTAACCCATATTTTTCTAAATGAAAATTTATTTTGTCCCGGATTATAATCTCTAGAAGTTTCCCCACTACTGACGTTAGGCTGATTGGCCTGTAGTTCCCAAGTTTATCCTTCTGCCCCTTTTTGTACAAGGGAGTAACATTTGCAACCCTCCAGTCCTCTGGGACCACCCCAGTGTCCAAGGAGGATTGAAAGATTGTGGCCAGAGCCTCCGTTATTTCCACCCTTACTTCCCTCAATAACCTAGGATGCACCCCGTCTGGACCAGGTGACTTATCTACCTTGAGCACCGTCAGCCTTTTTAGCAGCTCCTCTTGGTTTATTCTTATCTTATCCAATTTCTCTACCCTCTCCTCCGATACTGTGACATTGGCTGCATCCTCTTCTTTTGTGAAGACAGATGCAAAGTACTCATTCAGTACGTCAGCCATGCCCTCTGTCTCCGCAAGAAGATTTCCTCTTTGGTCCCTAATTGGACCCACCTTTTATTCTTTATATGCTTATAAAATACCTTAGGGTTCACTATATTGCCCGCAATCTTTTCTCATACAATCTCTTTGCCCCTCTTATTTCCTTTTTCGGTTCTCTTCAGTACTTTCTATATTCTATTTGATTAATTTCTGTATTTTGGACCTGACATTTATTATAAGCCTCTATTTGGTGGTCTATAGTATACACCTAACAGAGTAACAGCTCCTTTTCTTCTCCTTAACTTCAACTAAATAGATTCTGTTTTTGACCCTCTCGCACATCTTTCCTTTCCAGGGCCGTAACCATGTCTTTAATCAATATTGCCACTATTCCCTCTCCTTTTTTTTCCTTCCTTATCCCTCCTAAATACATCGTAGCTAGGAATATTCAGCTCCCATTCCTGCCCTTGTTTGAGCCAGGTCTCTGTTGCCACCTCATCATACCCCATGTGGCAAATTGAGCCTGAAGCTCACCAACCTTATTTGTCACACTCAGTGCATTTATGTACATGCACTCCAAGACCGACTTAGTCTTTTCTGCATTTCTCCCCCATCTAATCCCTCCTTTTTCTGGATTACTCCTTATTATTTTTATTTTTCGCCCACAAATATACAGTCAATTCACTTTATAGTCTAATCTGTGAAGCGCTTTGAGACGTCTAGAAGATGTGAAAAGCGTAATATCAAATGCAAAGATTTACATTGCTATTCATCTCTCACAGCCCTTATGTAACTTGTTTGTCCTCTTTAATGCTACATCCTGATTCCCTTCCACCCTCGAAATTAATTTAAACCCTTGCCTATAGCACGAGTTACCTCCCTGCGAGGACATTGGTCCCAGCCCTGTTTAGGTGTAACCCATCCACTTTGTACATGTCCCACCTGCCCCAGAACTGATCCTAATGATCCAGGAACCTGAAACCCTCCTTTCTGCACCATTTCTCCAGCCATGCATTCATGTGTTTGATCCTGCTGTTTTGATACTCACTTGCATGAAGCACTGAGAGTAATCCAAAGATCACCACCTTTGAGGTCTTACTTTTTAGTTTTTTCCCTAGCTTCTGATACTCTCCCTGTAGGATCTCAGACCTTTTTTCCTACATTATGGATCCCAACATGGCTCATGACTTCTGGATGTTCCCCTCCCCCCCTTAGAATGGTTTGCACCTGTTCCTTGATGTCTTCAAACCTGGACTGTAGACTGAAGTTAGTCTGTCTTCAGCCAATGCACATCGCTAGAAAGTTTTATATGGCAGAACCGTCTAGAAGGGGTGTTCTGCAATGCTCCACACTGTCGATGCTGTAGAAGTGACAATGCAAATACTGTGCACATGTATTCTAGCACTGGACACTAAACATAGTAGTTTCCTCCTCAGTCCCCAATCCACCACCCTGCACCTCTGCTCGACTGGCACTGGCCGCCTGCTCGTCCCCACGCCCCACCATGGGAGGTCGCGCTTTCAGCCACTACGCCTCAATACTCTGGAACAATCTCCCTCAATCCCTATGCCTTGCCTCCTCTCTCCCCTCTTTCAAGTCCCACCTGAAAACTTTCTTCTTCAACCGTGCTTGCAGCCACCTCCACCTTCACCCCGGCTCAGAGTCAGGCTCCGCCACTGTTAAACGCTCTGAGATGCTACCCTGCATGGAGGGCACTATATAAGTGCAAGTTGTAGTTGTTGTTGTTCCTTGCTCTGATATTTCCCTTATTTTCCTAGCGTAAATTGTTCCCCTATTCATTGTTGACTGAGAAAAAAATATTCCACCCTTAGTTCATCTTAGGTGTTAGCACTGTTGCCTCCGGGTTTGAAGGCAATAAGTTCCACCTTGACATCGGAACTTCAGCTCACAATTTAAGTTGACATTCCAGGGTAGTACTGGGGGAGTGCTGCATTGCTGAAGCCTTCATTTGGAATAGACATTAAACTGAGGTCCCACTTGCCTGTTCAGGTAGACATTAAATATTCCATGACATCATTGGAAAAGAGAAGGAGGTTTTTCCAAATGTCCGGCCCAACAATCCTACAGATCAACTGGTTATTCACCTCATACCTATTTGTGGGCTCCTGAGTTTGCCTACAAAGAGATAATGTGCTACAAAAATATTTTTTTACCTAATAGCTCTTGTTAATTACCATGAACATCAACTCAACCCACAGCCACGCAGAGGAATGTATGCACATTGGGAAATGGGGACAAATTCCATCTTCCACTAGTATGAGGGTGTGTAACAGAGATGTACATATGCTTTCTCATAATAATGATTGAAGAGAGCTGACAAGATAATTGCCTTGGTTTAATTGGCACAAAATAATATGATGTTATAGAAGGCTGCTTATACTTGTATAGTAATAATTATAAAACAAATAACAACAGCAACAACAACAACAATTTGCATTTATATAACGCCCTTCACATGGGATAGTGTCCCGGACAGTGGTAGAGTCTGACCCTGAGACAGGGGGAGAGGGAGTGGGGAGGTGACCATAAGCACGATCAAACAGAATGGCGGGGTGGGGGTAGGTGGATAAGGCGGAGGGATTCAGGAAGTGAGTTGCAGAGTTTTGAGATGTAGTGGGTGAAGGCATGGCCACCGTTGGTGGAGCAGAGAGGTTGGGGGACAAACAGGAGGCCGGAGCCAGCCAAGCAGAGGCAGCGGGTGGTGGAGTGGGGGTTAAGCTGGTCGAATAGGTAGGGCGGTGCGAGGGCATGAAGGGATTTGAAAACAAGTGAGAGCATCTTGAAGTTGATCCATTCAGTAATTGGAAGCCAGGGGAGTCTGACAAGGACTAGTGTGATGGGGGTACAGAGTTTTGTGCGTATGAGTATCCAGATAGTAGAGATTTAATTAATTGAATTTTGTGTATGGTGTTGCTGGGGAGACCAGCGAGGAGGGCATTAGAATAGTCCAACTGGGAAGTGACGAAGGTGTGGACGAGGGTTTCAGTTGCATTGGTTGTGAGGTACGGACAGACACAGTCAATGTGACGTAGGTGGGAAAAAGTTTTTGTGTCAGGGAACAGATGTGGGGGAGAAAGGAAAGCTGGAGATCAAACCTGACAATGAAGTTGTGCACAGGTATGAGCGAGAGCCTGGGGAGGTTGAGGAGTTCAGACCCACAGGAGAGAAGACGTTCATGGAAGCCAAAAAGTATGGCTTCCATCTTGCCGACAATTCAGCTGCAGGAAATATGCGCTCATCCAGCCTTGATGTCCGTCAAAGAAGCTAACAGGACATCAGTGGACTGGAAGTCACACCTGAAGGAGAAGTAGATTTGGATGTCATCCGCATACATGTGGAAGCTGACCCCATGTCTGCGGATGACATCGCCGAGAGGGAGCATGTAGATAAGGAAAGGAAGAGGGTCAAGGATGGAGCTCTGGGTACAGGCGACCGGATGGGGGCGGGAGGGAAAAACATTTGGTGAGATATATTGTTGACGGTTTATTAAGTAGGACTCGAACCAGGCTGGTGCGGTCCCACTCAGGTGGATGTGGGAGGAGATGCGATGGAGGAGAATGGCATGGTCGGCTATGTCGAACATGGCAGAGATGTCCAGGAGGATGAGGAGGCAGAGGGAACCCTGGCCACACAGAGAGAGAGGACGCCATTTGTTACTTTCACGAGCGCTGTCTCTGTGCTGTGGACAGGGTGAAAACCAGACTGGAGGGATTCAAGTAAAGAGTGGAGAGAGAGGTGTGAGTGAAGTTAATTTGCAACCACGCATTCCAAAACTTTGCCAGGAATGGCAGGTTTGAGATGGGTCTGAAATTTGTGAGGTTGGAGGGATCGAGAGTAGGAGAGCTGTTATAGAAGGCAGGGTAACTTGTACAATAATAATTATAAAAGAAATATGAAGTAACAGCAGCGAAAACTCTAACCAATTATTTTCTTTGACTGTATAAACTCTTAAAAATAATAATCCTTGCATTTGATATAGCGCTTTTCACATCTTCTAGACGTCACAGAATATACTGTAAAGTGGTTGTTATAACGTGCTTCATTACAGTTTTGATTTGTTGTTAATGGGAATGATATCTGTGTATGAATGCAACTGGCTAGATATCTTGTGTGCTGGTCTGTTCCGGTGCTAAAATATGGCAAAATTACAGGACTTCAGGTAACCATCAGTGTTCCACCCTAAAGTGAATTGACTGTATATTTGTGGGCGAAACGCGGGAGCCAATTGCACACAGCAGTGTCCCACAAACAGTCGTGGATTGAAGTGACCAATTTATTATTGTTTTTTTTCTTGAGGGATTATTATCAGGCGTGTGGAGTAAGGAAACTTGCCCAAGGTTTCACCCTGCCGGGAATCAAACCCAGGTCTCTCGCTTGCAAAGCAAGTGCTCTAACCACTGAGCTACAGGACTCCATGGTAGTACTTGCTACCCTTGCTAGTACTACAATTACTTGTGAGGTGCTTTGAGTTGTTTGATGTGATAAGACGCTGTAAGGTGCGAGCTCTTCCTTTCAGTTGCTGAGTGAGCTACTGTGCGTTTCCAGTATTTCCTGTTTGAGGAAAAGCTGTTGATTTGAGGCCGCACCAAAGTCATTCAGGGGAGAGTTGTTCAGGCCAGCTATGCAATCAGTGCCACAATGTATTTTTCATCTCCATGGGAGCTCAGTTTGACTCAGTTGGTAGCTCTTGTGCAGTACTCAGACAATCTAGACTCATACTCCGACGCTGTGCTGCATTGATGGAGATACTGTCTTCAGTTGAATCATCCCATCTGCCTTTTCAGGTAGACATTAAAGATCTTATGACACGGTTCGAAAGGGAGTATCTCCTAGTGTCCCGGCCAACAATTCCCCAAATGAAATTGGTCAATCACTTCACGTTTGTTTGTAAGACTTTCCTACATGAAGGATGATGTATAAATGCATCTCAGCTCACATTCCCCTCCCTCTATGATATTATTAAAGACTGAGGCCTATAGGGTTTTATACATGTGGATTACAAAGATCTATCAGTAATAAAACAGCTGATCCATCCACCCATTCACATTTAGTGAATTACCGGCTATAAGCATTGCCTGTTGTAGTACCTTGCCATATAGTCCAAATTATGCAGTTCCCACCCTCAGGAAGTCTCTTCAAAATCCTTCTGCCTCAACCCCTTCCTTTTGCTTTCAAATTCTATTGAAAAGCCTTTCTCTTTGACTGGACCTTCAGTCATCTCCTCCCTACTCCCTACCTTCACCCAGCTCAGACTCCCACTCTGTCTTTGTAAAACATTTCTCGCTGTGAAAGTCCCTATTCAAGTGAAAATTGTTGTTGTTGAGTTCATTCATTTCAACTAGACTAGCATTGGATTACTGCCAGCTCGGGCTCCTCAAAAACGCTCCAAGCCATTATCCTACATGAAGGGCGATGTATAAATGCAAGTTCTTGTTGTTGGCCTCTACACTTGGCCTTAGCATGTATACATTATGACAAATAATCTATATGTTACTACTGACTACAAACTGTAAATGACTTTGGGCACAGCTTTAATAGCTGACGATAATGAGTTGCCTGTGGGTGCCTTGGGATGTCCTCCAGATGTGAAAGGCACTATATAAATGCAAGTTATTGGTTTTATTGTTGTGATTTTGTTTAAAATCTTTAAACCACCTTTGGTTTTCCAGTTACTAACTGCGCATTTTCCCTTTGTATGTTACAGAATGTAGGGGTTCGAAAAGTGTCTGGTGATATATACTGTGCAAAATCCGGGAAAAAATTCTTAGGGCAAATTCATGAAAAATTTATCATCATAGACTGTGTACATGTGTTTGCAGGTTCATACAGGTAAGTTCAGACCTTTAATGTGAGAACAAATGTCTTTCATTCTCTTACCTTTTATATACAGTGTGGTATAGAAACACAGCCAGGATTATAATAATGACACAAACTGAACCAGAAAAACAGACTTGATCAGATGATACGTTCTCTTCAGAAATTAATGTTAATTTAAAAAAATAAAAATGGCTTTCCCTTTAGATGGGAGGAAATAAACCCCTTCATCTGGTCATAAGAATATTTACTTTGTTTCAACTGACCGCCACCTCCTCTTTCCTTTCCACATACACATTTATTATATATTCTGCATATTTATATATATATATAATTTTTTTTTTCTTTTTGCCCACCTGTCTTAATCGAAGATGAGGCCTCTCAACTTATATTAAGAAACCAAATGCCCTTCTGGATTCAGAGCGACCCTCAACTGTCTTTTCTTCCCCACATTCAAGCTATGACCTGCTCTGCCTTCCCTCACCTCCGTAACATCGCAAGTCCACCAGCACCTCACCCCTCAGGCCACTAAAACTCTTGTCCATGCCTTCATCACTTCCAGGCTCACCTATGCAAACCCCCTGCTTGTCGGCCTTCCCAACTCCTCCCTCCACAGGCTGTAGATAATCCAGATCTCTGCAGCCCGTGTCCTCTCCCGCACCAAACTCCCTGACTCCATCTCCCCCACTCCAGTTCAAGATCCTGGTCCTCACATACAAAGCCCTCCATGGCCTCGCCCCACCCTACCTCTATGACCTCCTAACCTCCTACCAACCCGCCCGTTCCCTCCGCTCAGCCGGCTCCGGCCTGCTCCACGTCCCCAACCCACCCGCCCCACCATTGGCGGGAGAGCCTTCAGCCACTCTGCCCCCAACCTCTGGAATTCTATCCCCCAATCACTCCGCCTCACCCCCTCCTTAGCCTCCTTCAAATCCCGCCTCTGCAGCCCGTATCCTCTCCCGCACAAACTCCGTGACCCCAGCTCACTGGCTCCCTATCCTTCAGAGGATCCAGTTCAAGATCCTGGTACTCACATACAAAGCCCTCCATTGCCTCGTCCCACCCTACCTCTGCGACCTCCTAACCTCAAGACCCTCCTTTTCGACCATGCCATCGGCCACCCCCCTTCTCCTCCCCTCCCCTCCCAACCCCAGCTCAGGTCTGAAATGCTATACTCTGTCCAGCGCTTTGGAACGTCCTCCCAACGTGAAAGGGCTTATCCAAATGTAGTCTTGTTGTTGTTGTTGTCTTGAGTAGTTTGGAGGTGTTTTGCAAAACCTGGATGGACTTAATAACCATAACTGAATAAGGGGCTGAATGATAAAATAGTTACAACCAGGCTTTGTGACATTTAGAACTGTTTCCACCTTTAACAAGCCCTAATATACAGAATAGAAACGATGCCTTGGAATTGCATCCCATCAACATTGCTAATGTTTAATTCATTAATGTTTTGTGCAGATTGGCTGCCTCATTCACCCATAAAATGCACATAGTCACAGCACTTTACAGTACATTCTGTGAAATGCTTGGTGCTATATCAATAGTGCTATATCAAATGCAAGATTCTCATTATATATTTGCTTTGTTTATTTTATGAATGTAAAAAAATCAATTATAAATAAAAAATTACAAAAAAAAAATTGCCATATGAAAGCAATGGTATCCCAAGCTTCAGGAGATATTTTTAAAAATCAGTCAATCTTAAAAAAATGCACGACACATAGGCATATTTTGAATATACTTTTTTGAGGAAATAAATATATTTTTTTGCAGTAAGCGTTTAAGGGGTTTCATTTGCAGTATTTCTTAATGAAGAATCCCATCAGAATTCCTATTGATCCCCAGGAATCCTGGTCTGGAAGCAGATACATAATAATAACAATACTCCTTGCATTTTAATAAAGCATCTTATCTCATTGCTGTAACATTTCAAAACTCTTCACAGGATGTATTATAAAGTGACCACCAAGACCCCAGGAGAGAGAAACTCCCTTCAGGTGGCTTTGAGGGAGATTTTATCCTGTAGTCCTTTCAATATACTCCTTCAAGATCCATCTCAAGACCTTCCTCTTTGATCACACTTTTGGTCATCTTCCCCCCTCCTTCACCTCTCTTTCCCCCACCCCCTTGCCCCCTGCCAACAGCTCAGTTGCAAACTTTCTCTTCAACCGTGCCTTCACCTCCCCTCTCGACTCTCTACTCCCTCCTCGTCTCTCCCTTCCCTCCCCTCACCCTGACCAGTTCCCCTCTGCTCAGATCCCAACCCAACTGTCCAGCGCCTTGGGACGTCCTCCCGACGTGAAAGGCGCTCTATAAATACAATCTTGTTGTTGTTGTTGTTGTTGTTAGACTTTCCAGCAAGTTGGGTCATGAAAGGCACAATATAAATCTAAATTTGAATTATATTTCTCATGGTTCCGGATGGCATGGGAATCCACTTACCAGAAAGGGGTTCCCATTTGTGCAACTTGGATTCTGGATTAAGAAATCCCGTAACAAATATCATAAATTATCCTATGTAGCACGCCAATAAGATCAGGCTGTCTCATCAACACTATACCTGGATAACTATTTCAAAGGCATATGCATAGATGTTATTGTTATAGAGTTTGAAATGATTATTACAAATTTCAAAACTAATGTAATAAATAGACCTAGGCCAAACTATGGACTTACTTTTTCACAAAATGCAGAATTATTTTACTTTCAATAAAATATCGAATGCCGTTGACATTTTATCTGATCTGACGGCTTCTCTCTTACAGTTTTACTTGGCTGTCAGATCAAGTTCACAGGAACTTTGTGACCATTTTCTCAGGACACATCGTTGAACTATTCGACACTGAGTTCCGCAGGCTCTATGCTCAGTCTAAGCCAGTCAGTGAGTTCAGCTCCACTACTCAAACAGTGCCTTTCCCAGTTCTGAACAATTTAGCCGTGCCCGTGGTCAACTCAAATGTCAAGTGGCCAGAAAGCCACAACACCCAGTCAGATGCTTTTAGCAGTCTGTCGAGTTGCAGCGAGCCAACCAGAGGTTTTCCATCAACACTCTTCTCAAGTGGCAAAGGTGATGGTCATCCCAGCCCAAGACAAAATGGTACTCCTGAGCGCAGGGTGTACATTCCATGCCAGAAACAAAGGCACTACTCTCTCTTGGACATGGATCCTCCTCGTTCGGTGCCAGCTGAACGCTACTTCCAAGAGCCACCAAGAACAGCAATGAATTTTAAGGAGGTCAACGTGCTCACCACTCAGAGAGGGAAACCACACAACACATCACAAATGTCACCAATAGCGAGGAATTACTTCCTGACAGACGGCAAACAGTATATCAGTCAAAAGCCAGTCATCAAACCAAAACACTCAGTAGAGTTATTTAAACTTAACAAATTGACAAATCCCAAGTACATCTACAGTACATATGAAAATGTTGCAATGCATCTAAAGTACTAAAAAAAATTATCACAAAATTCTTTACCTAAAATTGCTCGCCCTGAATATTGTCTTGCTGGCTTTAGTGAATGATGTTGCAATAGGCAACTTTGAAATCATTAAAACATTCAGTTCTCACCAAGTGAGATCCTCAGAGGCACAAATTGTCAGAGTTAATGTTTATATGTTGCATTTTCATAACTGGTCAATTTTCCCAGCCTGTGCTGGATATTTTGTAAGTAAGAGCTTGAATTTGAAATAGCAATAGGTAGTTTTTGGATTACAAATGTGTGCAGTGGAAATGTGTTTGTTGGGTAAGATTTGACCGAGTACCTTTAATAAATAAGTCCAACCACTTAAAAGGTAAAGATTTGCTATTCAATATTGAAAAAAAATTGTCATTATATAAAAACTTTTAATGGACAACACTACCTTAAAACAGAATTACAGATGGCTTAAAAGGTCACACATATTCTACATTACTATGTAAATTACTGAAACCTGCTTATTCTCATGGTTACAGCAATAAGGCCTACTGCGGCAATAAACATGTGTTTGCCCATATTCTAAGGTTATATGTAAATTTAAGGTATTAGTATGTTAGCATGCTTACTTGGACTGCTGTCTACCAAAGGACACAATGCGGATTTACCCTGGAATATTGCATATTGTAGGATGATGCAGGTCAAATACTGCAGAATGGTTCCAGAGTAATCTGAAGGTGCTGTTGCTTGCATTCTGCCACACTTACTTGTAGTGCAGCATTGAAGCAATCTTGCACATGTGCAAGCTCATTTCAGTTGCAGAATGGCCTTAACTATTTCTGACCTCCAAGGAACTTTGAAGGAGGCTGTGCAGACAAGTATCTCATTGTTGATAAATAGGGATGGGCTGATAGCTCAGATGGGCTTACAACTCAACTTTTTGACAGCCAACAAAAAAATCTACGATGATGGGGTGGCCCATTTAACATAATATTCAGTAAGGGGAGTGTAGATCTTTGGGACACCAGTGTTTTTCCTCTCAAATGTACTGAATCCAGTAGGAAAGTGTTTTGATTAATTTATGTGGAGGATTGCGATGGTTGAAAATAAAATGATTTAATTAAATGTTAATGAACTATTTGGCTAAGACAGTAAATCTCAGAGCTCTATAGTAAAAAATAAAGTGTAAATTCTTAAATTTAAAATTAAGAAAAGAAGGAATGCTTTAACAATTCAAACGTAGTGCCTCATTTCAAAGTGAGCAAAAAGCAGATTCATTTTAAGTGGGAAGTTTAAAACAAAAGGCTTTTCCTATCTTGTTGATTTCACAAGACCCAGAATTGAGATGGTGTTTCCACAAGTGCTATAATCACAAAACTCTTTACCTAGAACAATGCACTCAGAATTGCTTGCCCTGAATATTGTGTTACTGACTTCAGTGAATCATGGTGGAATAGGCTACTTTGAGATCATTAAAACATTCAGTTCTCACCAAGTGATTCTCTTCACTTATTCCTTTACAAACCTAGATTATAAGATGTAGGCTGGGTAGTTACTTTTTGGAATACTGTATATATCAGTCTGGAAGATCTCATGATACTATACGAAAAGAGAAGTGTCCTGGCCAACAATCCTCCACATAAATGTATTTATGTATTGCCTGTTTGTGGATCTTATTGTGCACAAACTGTCTGTCACGTTTAAATATACAGTAACTACATTTAGCAGTAAATCCCAATGAAAGACACTTTTGAGGTGTTTTGTTAGTAAAGGATGATTATTGTACCGTATCATACTCATGTCAATAAAAAATACATCAACAATTTGCATTTGTATAGTGCCCTTTATGCTGGTAACATCGTGGAGGCCTTAAATTACATAATCTCTGGAATATATATAAGAGAATTACCACCTATTGAGATAACTTTACTTTCTACAAGATATGGGACTCTCTGGCCTGAATGGTCTCATATACTTAGGCTTAACCATCACTTTAATATTTAAGATCAAGGAAAATATGGAAAGTACTCTTAAATTCTGTCTTAATTTAGAAGTCAATTTTCAACACCGTCGTAAAAGAACTATTGAAAGTTCACTTCTAAATGAAAGCAGAATATAAACGCATTTTCCTCCAAAAAATTCAAGACCTTACATTTTGGGAAAATGGTATTAAGGTTAAGTAATGAGAAATGTTGAAACCCTAATATGTTAACAGAACTTAACAGTAATCTCCTTATTACCTCACTTGCAATTAGCTGTTCCACCTCAGTATTTCCAGTAGCATTGCATTCTTTTCATTCATACATCCATGTATTTAATACGCCTACAACTGTATCTCCTATGACATGATTGCACTGTATCATTGTTTACTTTTATGCAATGTCAGTGAAACTCCATTTGCTGTGCAACATTCCCTTGGTCACAAGAGTTCAGATGAAGGCCCTTTGGCCCATCTGATCTCATCACTCCAGAGTATCTCCCTAAGCTCCCATCATAGCATTAAGCTGCTTTTTAAATGAGTCCAGTGTCCTGAGCTCAATCACTCTTCCATGCAACCTTTTCCAGTCCTTAATTAATCTCTGGGTGAAGAAACATTTCCTGCTATCTGTCCTGAAATTGCCCCTTGCAACTTTAAACCTATGTCCTCTTGTTCTCCTGTATTGGTGCATCCTAAAGTTTTGTCCTGGATTTACTTTTTCAATCCTATTTAAAATGTTGTACATCTCTATGAGGTCCCCTCTAAGTCATCTTCTCTCAACACTGGAAAACCTTAGTTTGACTAATCATAGCTCATTCCTCTAAGACTGGGGATCATCCTCATGGCATCCTCTGCACTGCCTCTATGGTCTGGGTAGGCCCCCGATTTTGCAGTGACCAGAACTTTATGCAGTATTCTGGGTGGCCTTACTACAACACTGTACAGCCTGGGGAGACAACACCTACCATTTCTGAACTCCCATTGGCTGTCATTTATAAGTTTAGTTTTATATAGGTAATCTTCCACTTCCTTTCTGATCATTGACTCCATAGTTTATTGAGGTTAATCTAATAACTCTAGTTGCCTGAACAGGCGGATTGGATGTTGGTTTAATTGGATGTTGGTTTAATATCTCATCCAAAGGATGGCACTGTCACATTTTGAATATGGGACACATTTCTGTGTTCTGTATAACTTTCCTGTTTTTTAATTCATTTTGTCAGGATGAATTCAAGCTCCACTTTCAGCTCATAGACTAGGTTGAACTCCAATGGAGTGCTCGGGGAGTGATCCATTGTCAGAGGTGCCATCCTTTGGATGAGACATTAAACCAAGGTCTTGTCTGCCTGTTCAGGTGGTCATCCACAAAACCCACCCACTACTGGCGTCCTGACCGACTGCCTGTCCGACATCAAGTCCTGGACGAGGGACAACTTTCTCCAACTCAACGTCAACAAGACTGAAGCCCTCTTGATTGGCTCGCGCCAGCGCCTCCGCACCTCGGGCACTGGCAGCATCAGCCTCCACGGCTGCATACTCAACCTCACTAAGCCAGTCAGGAACCTGGATATCTTGTTTGACCCTGAACTGTCCTTTCTCCCCCACATCTGTACCATGTCTGGCACTGCCTACCACCACCTCCGCAAAATTGCCAGACTCCGCCACTGCCTCTCCCCTCAGGCTGCCGAAACCCTCACCCACGCATTCATCACATCAAGGCTCGATTATGGAAACCCCCTCCTCATCAGCCTTCCCAACTCTTCCCTTCACAAGCTGCAGATCATCCAAAACTCTGCTGCTCATGTACTCTCACGCACCAGGCTCCGTGAACCTATCATTCCCACCCTCGCCCGACTCCACTGGCTCTCCATCCTTCAGAGGATCGGATTTAAGATCCTCGCTCTCACTTTCAAGGCCATCCATGGCCTTACCCCCTCCTACCTCTCTGACCTGCTGACTCCCTAACAACCTGCCCATTCCCTCCGTTCAGCGGGCTCCAGCTCGCTCCATGTCTCCCGCCCCACCCACCGTACCATTGGTGGCTGGGCTTTCAGCCTCTCTGCCCCCACACTCTGGAACTCAATCCCTCAGTCCCTTTGCTTCGCTTCCTCCCTTGCCTCCTTCAAGGCCAGTCTCAAGACCCTCCTCTTCGATCGTGCCTTCGGTTGCCTTCCCACCTCTCTGCCTTCCCCCACCCTACCCCACTCCTCCTCCATGCTCGGGTCCTGACCCCTGACGTCCTCCCGATGTGAAAGGCACTCTATAAATGTAATTTTGCTGTTGTTTATGTCATTCAGCAAAGAGTGGAAAAATCTAACCTTTCTAGGGTTAGGGCGACCTTATGTATAAGCAGTTAATCATAAGCCCGGTGTTGGGGATTAAAATATCTGCTGACCAGTCTAAACTGTGTGCTTTTGTTTGAGTCCCATTTAAAGAAGACTTGTGAGAACCTCACTTGAGCAGAGAGCCCAGCGGTTTAAGGAGGAAACTGAGTGAGGTGGATCAGAGTGAGAATTCTGTTAAAGAATTTGGTGAGAGTGGGAATTTTTCAGCAAAAGAGAGTATCAATTGCTCGATGTAGCTTATCTGGATTTTCAAAAGGTGTTTCATAAAGTGCCACATATGAAATTTGTAAGCAAACTGGAAGCCCACAGTATTGAAGGAACAGTGACAGCATGGATACAGAACTGGCTGGGAGACAGAAAGCAGAGAGTGGTGGTGAACAGTTGTTTTTCTGACTGGAGGGCAATGTGCAGTGGTGCCCCCAAGGGTTGGTATTTTGATCTAAATAAATGACCTGGACTTGGGTACAGGGAGCACAATTTCCAAGTTTGCAGATGATACTAAGCTAGGAAACAGTGAGGGGTAGCAGCAGACTGGTAAAATGGGCGGACAGGTGGCAGATGAAGTTTAATGTGGAGAAATGCAAAGTGATGTATTTTGTGAGGAAAAATGAGGAGAGGCAATATAAGCTGATGGTAGAATTTTAATGGGGGTGAAGGAACAGAAAGACTTGGAAACACTCAGCAGGTCAGCAGCATCTATGGAGAAAGTAAAGTGAGTCAACATTTTGGGTCCATAACCCTTTGTCAGAACAATTCTGATGTTCTAATGAAGGATCGTGGACCTGAAACGTTGACTCACTTTCCTTTCTCCATAGATGCTGCCTGACCTGCTGAGTGTTCTCAGCGACCTGTTTTGGTTCAGATTTCCAGCATCTGCAGTATTTTCCATTTTGAGAGACTTGTGGGTTCATATAACTAAATATTTGACGGTGGCAGGACAGGTAGATAAAGCTGTTAAAAAAGCATATCGGATAAAAGTCAGGAAGTTATAATGAACCTTTATAAAAACACTGGTTAGACCTCAGCTAGAGTATTGTGTTGAGTTCTGGGCACCACGCTTTAGAAAGGATTTCAAGGCATTGGAGACAGTGCAAAGAAGATTTACCAGGATGGTACCAGGGATGAGGGACTTCAGTTATGAGGAGTGGCTAGAAAAGCTAGGATTGTTCTCCTTGGAGCAGAGAAGGTTAAGAGGAGACTTAATAGAAGTTTTAAAAATTATGAGGGGATTCGATAGGGTGAACAAGGAGAAATTATTTCCACTGGCGGGTGGGTCGGTAACCTGAAGACACCGATTTAAAATAGTTGTTAAAAGAAACAGAGGGGAGATGAGGAGAAATGTTTTCACACAATGAGTTGTTCGGATCTGAAAGGCATTGTCTGAAAGGGTGGTGGAAGCCGATTCGATAACAACTTTTAAGTCTCCAATGCCTTGAAGTAGATAATTATTTGGGGAGGACAAGTTTGCAGGGCTATGGGGAGAGCGGGATTGAATTAGATAGCTCTTTTCAAAGAGCCTGAACAGACACGATGGGCCGAATGCCCTCCTTCTGTGCTGTATAATTCGATAATGCTATGATGTGAAAGGTACTATACCAAATGTTAGGATTATTTTTATTTATTATTATGTTAAAAGATTCTCGGGCACTATTCAAAAAGGGAAGGGAGTCTCTCCCAGCATCATAGTCAACAATCACCATATAAAACAACAACAACAACAAGATTCCATTTATTGAGCGCCTTTCACGTTGGGAGGACGTCCCAAGGCGCTGTACAGTTGGGTCAGGACCCGAGCAGGGGGGAAATGGTCAGGGTGGGGGGAGGGAAGGGAGGGAGCGAGGAGGGGGTAGAGAGTCGAGAGGGGAGCTGAAGGCACGGTCAAAGAGAAAGGTCTTGAGACCGGCCTTGAAGGAGGAAAGGGAGGAGGCGGCGAAGGCACTGGGGGATAGAGTTCCAGAGCCTCGGGGCTGAAAGGCTGAAGGCCCGACCACCAATGGTAGGGCGGTTGGGGCGGGGGATGTGGAGCAGACCGGAGCCAAAGGAATGGAGGGTACGGGCAGGTAGGTAGGGGGATAGTAGGTCGGAGAGGTAGGAGGGAGCAAGGCCGTGAATGGCCTTGTAGGTGAGGGTGAGGATCTTGAATTCGATCCTCTGGGGGATGGGGAGCCAGTGGAGGCGAGCGAGGGTGGGAGTGATGTGGTCGCGAAGCCTGGTGCGGGACAGTACACGAGCTGCAGAGTTCTGAATGACCTGCAGCTTGTGGAGGGAGGTGCCGGGAAGGCCGGCGAGGAGAGAGTTCCCATAGTCCAGCCTTGAGGTGATAAAGGCGTGGACCAGAGTTTCAGCAGCGTGAGGGGTGACGTAGCACCGTAGTTTGGCGACATTCCGGAGGTGATGGAAGGCGGTGCCAGTTGTGGTGCGGATATGAGAAAGAAAGGACAACTCAGGGTCGAACAGAACCCCGAGGTTCCTGAGCGGCTTTGAGAGGTGGAGAGTGCAGCCTTGGATGCTGATGCTGTCAGCGCCTGAGGTGCGGAGGCGCTGACGTGAGCCAATCAGGAGGGCCTCAACTTTGCGCACGTTGAGCTGAAGAAAGTTGTCTCTCGTCCAGGATTCGATGTCGGACAGGCAGGCTGTCAGGACATCGGTGGTCGTGGAGTTGAGGGTAGAGGAGGAAAGGTAGAGTTGGGTGTCATCCGCATACATGTGGAAGTTAACCCCATGTCTGCGGATGATGTCACCAAGGGGGAGCATATAGAGGGTGAAGAGGAGGGGACCGAGGACAGAGCCTTGAGGGACACCGCACGAGACAGTGCGGGGGCCGGAGGAAAAACCATTTGTGGAGGCAAAGTGAAGACGGTGGGAGAGGTACGACCTAAACCACTCAAGGACAGGGCCTTGAAGGTTGAGGTGGGAGGACAAGCGGTGGAGGAGGATAGTGTGGTCGACCGTATCGAATGCTGCCGATAGGTCGAGGAGGACGAGGAGGCAGAGGGAGCCCTGGTCACAGATGGTCAGGATGTCATTGGTGACCTTGACCAGGGCAGTTTCTGTGCTATGGGCAGCACGGAAACCCGACTGAAGGGGTTCGAATAGTGAATGGTTGGAGAGGAAAGAGCGCAGCTGGGAGGCGACAACTCATTCCAGGACCTTGGATAGGAAGGGGAGGTTGGAGATGGGCCGGTAGCTTGATAGCTGCGACGCATCAAGGGAGGGTTTTTTTAAGGTGGGAGTGATGATGGCAGTTTTTAAGGGAATGGGAATAGAGCCAGAGGAGAGGGACAGGTTGACGATGTCTGTGATATGTGGGGCAAGGAGGTGGAGCTGGGAGATAAGGAGTGGAGTGGGGATGGGGTCAAGGGAGCAGGTGGTGGGTTTCAGGGATAGGATGAGTTTGGTGACAGAGGGTGGGGAAACGGGTACGAAGGTGTGTAGGGGAGGATGGGTAGGAGTCGGAGTGTGGGAGGGAAGGGGTGGGTGGTGGGTGGATGTTGGAGGGGAAGTGACCGCGGAGCGAATTCCCTTGATCTTGGATTCAAGGAAATCCAGCATCTCCTCGCAGTGAAGGTTGGAGGAGATGACCTGCGCGGGGTGGCGGGGGGGACGGAGGAGTTGGGATGTGGTAGAGAACAGTAGCCTGGGGTTGTCCTTCGCCTCCAGGATTATCCTGGAGTAGAAGGACGATTTGGCCGAGGCTAGAGTGGAGCGGTAGATTTTGAGGAGGTCCAGCCAGATTTGTCGGTGGACCGTTAGGCCAGATTTGACCCAGGTGCGTTCAGCGGCCCGCACCTGGCTCTTCAGTGAGCGGAGGTGGGTGGTGAACCAGGGGAGGAGCGAGAGTAGGAGACAGTACGGGAGGTGATAGGGGCAAGAGTGTCAAGTGTGGAGGAGAGGGTGTTGTGGAGGAGGGTGAGAGCAGAAGAGGGATCGGTGAGGGTTGAAGGCCAGCGGGAGAGGAGTTCAGAGGACTCCAAGGCAGCGGTTAGGGATTGAGGGGGTAACTTCTTCCAGGGGCGGTAGAAGATGGTGGTGGGTCTGGTGGAGGTGGGGAGGGGGGTGGAGGTGGTGAAGGAGATGAAGTGGTGGTCGGAGATGGCCTTGTCGGTGATGGTGACATCCGAGACACTGAGGCCCCGGGTGTAACCAAGTCGAGTGGGTGGCCGTGACTGTGAGTGGGGGAGTTGATGTGGAGGGAGAGGTTGAGCGAGGAGAGCAGGGAAGAGAAATCTGAGGAGATTGAGCAGGAGGGGGTGAAGTGCAGGTTAAAGTCGCCCAGGATGATGAGGCTATCAGAGCAGAGGCAGAGAGATGTGAGAAGTGTTGAAATATCAGAGATAAAGGTGGGAGAGGTTTTAGAGGGCCGGTAGAGGAGGAGGATTTTAAGTGAGAGGAAGGAGGGGTGGGAGAGGGTGAGGTGCTCAAAAGAGGGGAAAGAGCCTGAGGAGTAGCGGGATAGAGCAAGTGGTGTCCTTGAGATAAGGGCAACACCACCGCCACGGCGGTTGGGGCGAGGGATGTGGTGGGAGGTGTAGCCGGGTGGTGTGGCCTCCGTGAAGGGGAAGGTGTCGCCTGGGGTGAGCCAGGTTTCCGTTAAGGCCATGATGTCAACGCTCTCATCAAGGATGAGATCGTTGATGACCAGGGCCTTGTTACAGAGGGAGCGGACGTTTTGTAGTCCGATGTGGATGGAGCGGTTGACAGAAGGGTGTGTGGGGAGGGAGGGGGGTCCCGGTTGTGAGGCTGGCAGATCGCTGTACGCAAATGGGCTACCATTTTCATCTACAAAATACAGCCATGACAATCTACAGTAAAGCATATGAGACATTTTGACAACATAATAAGGCACTACATCAAATCCAAAGATTATATTTCATGTAGTTTTAGGTTTCCAGGGCATGTCCATTAATGGAGCTTCATCCAGACAGACTCCAAACCTGTCAGAACACAGTGGCATGTGTAAATGCTCAAATAATAATCCTTGCATTTGATATAGCACTTTTCACGTCTTCTAGATGTCTCAACGCAATTCACAGAATATACTGCAGAGTGAATTGACAATATATTTGGGGGCAAAACGCAGCAGCCAATTACACACAGCAGTGTCCCACAAACAGTCAGAGAGTGACAAAATTATTATTGTTATTTTTCTCAAGGGCTTCTTGTCAGACATGTGGAATAAGGAAACTTGCCCAAGGTTTCGCCTTGCCGGGAATCAAACCCAGGTATTTCTCTTGCGAAGCGAGTGCTACAGGACTTCAGGGTTCAAGTCAATCATTCAAGACAAGGAATTTGCAATGACCGAAAGTGCTTTGGGAAATGATTGGGTGAAAGGTGATTTGATTCCAGAGACAGGAAGTACTTCTTTACCCAAAGTATAATATGAGTCGGCCTGACTCAGTTGGTAGCACTCTCACCTGTTGCAGGTTGTCAGTTCGAGCCTCATGTCGGGACATTGAACTCACATAATCTAAGATGGTACTACAATACGTTGCTGGGGTTGTGCTGCACTGCTGGATGTCTTTAAATGAAACGTTAACCTGAGGTCCTGCCTGCCTGTTCAAGTGGACATTAAGTATCCCATGGCACTATTTGAAAAGTGAAGGGAATTTCTCCTGGTCAACAATCCCCCAAACAAAAATGGTCATTCACTTTCTGGGTGTTTGAGGGACAATGTTGTGTGCAAATTGGTTGCTGTGTTCTTCCCCACATAAACACAGTCACTGCATTTTACAGTACATCCTACGAAATCCCTCAAATGACATTAGCTACTCACTTCATTGCTGTTTCTGGGATATTGTTTGTAAATTGGTTGCCGCTTTCACCTACAAAATACACAGCTAGTACACTTTATAGCAGAAACCTTCAGAGAGGAACAGTTTTTTGGAAAAAGATTGAAAACCATTGCTTTATTGCATGTCCTGTGAAGCACTTTGAGACCTCCTCCTTACGCGAAAAGGGCTATAACAAATGTAAGGACGATCATTAATGAATGGGTTAGCAGCTGGAATGGGTTAGCAGAATTGGTGGTTCAAGCCACAATACTGGATTCATTTAAGAAATTTGATGCTTAATAGCTGGGCGGTAGGTAGGTTGGTATTCTTAAAAGAATTAAGAACATAAGAATTAGGAGCAGATGTAGGCTATTCGGCCCCTCGAGCCTGCCCCACCATTCGATAAGATCATGGCTGATCTTCTGACCTAACTCTGATTACCTGTCCTATCCCCATATCCCCTAATCCCTCTATTTTTTAAAAATCCATCAGTCTCAGCCTTGAAGATGTTCAAGGACTGAGCATCTACAGCCTTCTGGGGTAGTGAATTCCATAAATTCACTACCCTCTGAGTGAAGAAATGTTTCCTCAACTCTGTTCTGAAAGGCTTACCCTTAATTTTAAGACTGTGACCCCTGGTTATAGATTCTCCTACCAGGGGAAACAGTCCCTCAGTGTGTCTACTTTATCCAGCCCTTTAAGAATCTTATATGTTTCAATAAGATCTCCCCTAATTCTTCTGTACTCTGGAGAATACAGCCCTAGTTTATTCAGCCTATCCTCATAGGTCAGTCCCCTCATCCCAGGAACTAACCGAGTGAATCTACGCCGCACACCCTCTAAGGCAAGTATGTCCTTTTTTAAATAAGGAGACCAAAACTGCGCACAATACTCTAGGTGCGGTCTCACCAAGGCCCTGTACAGTTGCAGCAAGACTTCCCTACTCTTGTACTCTAACCCTTTTGCAATGAACGCTAACATGCCGTTCGCCTTCTTAGTTGCTTGCTGCACCTGCAAACTAACTTTTTGAGACTGGTGTACAAGGACACCCAAATCCCTCTGAACACTAACACTATCTAATCTCTCCCCTCTAGAAAATAATCTGTTTTTCTATTTTTGCTACCTAGGTGAATAACTTCACACTTCCCCACATTAAATTCCATCTGCCACCTACTCGCCCACTCCCCTAGCCTATCTATATCCTGTTGCAATCTTTTTGCATCATCCTCAGAGCTTACTCTCCCACCTAGTTTAGTGTCATCCGCGAATTTAGATACGTTACATTCAATGTCCTCGTCTAGATCATTGATGTAAATTGTAAATAGCTGAGGCCCAAGCACTGATCCTTGTGGCACTCCACTAGTCACATCCTGCCAATTCGAGAATGACCCGTTTATCCCTACTCTCTGTTTTCTACCCGTTAGCCACTCTTCAATCCATGCTAATATGTTCCCATTAATCCCGTGGGCCTTAACCTTGTGCAATAGCCTTTTGTGTGGCACTTTGTCAAATGCCTTTTTAAAATCTAAATATACTACATCTACTGGTTCCCCCTATCTAACCTGCTAGATACATCTTCAAAAAACTCTAAAAGATTAGTTAAGCATGACTTCCCTTTTGTAAAGCCATGTTGACTCTGCCTAATCTTGTTATGGTCTTCCAGGAATCCCATAACGACATCTTTAATTAAGGACTCAAGAATTTTCCCTACCACTGATGTCAGACTAACTGGTCTATAGTTCCCCATCTTTTCTCTCCCACCCTTCTTAAATAGCGGTGTTACGTTTGCAATCTTCCAATCAATGGGAACCATTCCAGAATCCAGAGAATTTTGGAAGATCAAAGACAAGCCATCCACTATCTTAGTAGCCACCTCTTTTAAAACCCTAGGATGTAGGCCATCAGGTCCAGGGGATTTATCAGTTTTAAGACCTGACAATTTACCTAAAACCATTTCTTTACTAATATTAATTATTGGTTCCCCTCTATTCTTGGTAGGTTTTCAGTGTCTTCTAAGGTGAAGACAGCAGCAAAGTACTTGTTTAGTGACTCTGCCATGTCTTTGTCCCCAACTGTAATTCCCCCCCGTCTCTGCCTGTAGCGGACCCACATTTACCCTTGACAGCCTCTTCCTCTTTATATATTTATAAAAACTCTTGCAGTCTGTCTTCATGTTCTTCGCTAGTTTGCCCTCATTTTCTCCCTCTTAATCACTTTTTTGGTTCTCCTTTATTGATCCCTAAAGTTCTTCCAATCCTCTGGTTTACTACTCATTTTAGTTGTTTTATAGGCTTCTTCCTTTAACTTTATACTTTCTCTAACTGCTCTAGTTAGCCACGGTTGGGCCACCTTTCCCGTGGCATTCTTATTCCTCAAAGGAATACGTGCTCGCTGGGAATTTTGCACTATCTCCTTAAACGTCTGCCATTGCTGGTCTACTGTCAAATCCTTAAGTCTAATTTCCCAGTTTATTTTAGCTAAATTCTCTCTCATACCAGCAAAGTTGGCTCTACTTAAATTTAAGACCTTTGCTTCGGACTTAACTACTTCTCTCTCTAACTTAATGCTAAATTCCATTATATTATGATCACTTTGCACTAGAGGAGCTTTAATTTCCAGTTTGCTGATCAGCCCTGCTTCATTACACAAAACACGGTCTAATATGGCCTGTTCCCTGGTTGGCTCCTCGGCATACTGATCTAGATAATTATCCCTAATACATTCTATAAACTCTTCCTCTATCATACTTTTCCCAATTTGGTTGTCCCAATCTATATGCAGATTAAAATCACCCACAATTAATGTTTTTCCTTTTCTACATACTCCGCTAATTTCCTGATTAATACCTTGAAAGAGACTGTGACTGCTGTTCGGGGGTCTATAAACTACTCCCACTAGAGTTTTCTGCCCCTTGTTGTTTCGTACTTCTAGCCATACTGACTCTACTTCCTGCTTTTCTGATTTAAAATCTTTCCTCTCTACTGTTTTTAATCCCATCCTTTATTAGCAGGACCACACCCCCCCTCCTCGTTTACCACATTGTCTATCTTTTCTATACGCCACATACCCTGGAATATTTAGCTCCCACCCTTGATCTCCCTGTAACCATGTCTCGGTGATGGCTACTAGATCATACCCGTTTGTTTCTATTTGTGCATTTAATTCGTCTATCTTAATTAAATGAAAATGACTGAAGTGCTCTCTTCACCCATAAACCTGAGGTGACCTAGAAACACAAGATGTGTTTCAAATATTTCCAAGTATTTTCTCTGTACCACTTAATAACCTGTTTTTCCTCAGTATCTATCAATCTGTCTTACTCGTAAATTGCCCAGTTGATTGATTCTGATGCTTTGGCTGGAATTACCGCAGGGCGCTGAAACCCTCATACACGCCTTCATTACATTGAGGCTCGACTATGTAAACTCACTGCTTGTCGGCCTCCCCAACTCCTCCCTCCACAGGCTGCAGATCATCCAGAACTCTGCAGCTCGTGTCCTCTTCCACACTAGGCTTCGCGACCAAATCACCCCCATCCTTGCCCAACTCCACTGGCTTCCCATCACACAGAGGATACAGTTCAAGATCCTGGTCCTCACCTTCAAAGCCCTCCACAGTATTGCTCCCCCCTACCCCTCCGGCTTCCTAACCCCCTACTATCCTGTATGCTCCCTCCACTCAGGGGGCTCTGGCCTGCTTCACGGCCCGCGCATTGCTCGCCCCACTATTGGTGGGCGGGCCTTCCGCCACCACCCTCTGGAACTCCACCCGCAGTCCTTCTATCTCACCCCCTCCCTCGCATCTTCAAGACCACCTCAAGACCCTCTTCTTCGACAGTGCGTTCAATCTCCCTGCTTCCCCCTTCCCTCCCCCAACCTGACCCTCAGCTCGGGTCTGTAATTCTGTCTGTCCAACGCCTTGGAACATCCGCCCGACCTGAAAGGAGCTGTATAAATGTAATTTTGTTGTTTCCGCGTGTAGGTGGGATGCATGGAATTCTCAGTTTGGTTTGGATACGCCTAAGCATGGTGATGGGTTTCTGAGTGTGTCAGTCACCCGACTGACAAAAAAAACATACACTTCTCCAATGTGTTGGTGTATCACATTAAATCAATGCTAAGAATTTTTGATGCATTTCAACCCACACATAAGTATACCTAAGTGCATCAGGCAAGTCAAGACAAGTTTGTTCCTTAGATTACCATTTGTATTATCTATTATTCTTGGAAATTGAATCTATAATTTATAAACAAAGGAATGACACGGGAATCTGCCGAAGGCACTGACTTGTTCGGGTACAGTTCCTCAGGCATTAAGAGCATTGGCTATCTTACCCAAGTGGCCTTCTATATGTACAGGCTTAGACAGCGAGTGTTGTTAAGCCAGCTGATGTGCAGGGAACTCGTTCTTGTTCGTACTCAATGTGGCCATACATGTATCTTTGATCACAGTAGCAAGACAGTAATCAGGAGTCAAAATGCTTTGGGTGATTTTTTCCTTCCCCCGATTAGGGGCATTGAGGTCCAGTTAACTCAGCACAGTTGAGGAACTGAACCTGGGCCTATCCTCGTAGCTATGGCTCAGTACCATACCACATAGCTTTTTATCCTGAATCATTAGAACCAAAACATATCTACCTCCGATAAATGATGTAAAAATAATTTACTTTAATACTTGTACTCAATGCTAGACCCAAAAGGTCACAGGTTCAATCCCAGTCTGTGCTGAGTTAGCTGATTTGAGTTAGGCAGCACAGAGGAGCAATAAAAGTGGTCACGAATGCCTGGACTGGAAAGCGTGGGGTGGGGGGGGGGGGAGAAAGGGAGGGAGAGGAATCTGTTATGGCTTCCTGCTCCCAATTGATCTATTAGAAAGACACATGTTAAGATAATATCACTACAGATTCTCTAACACTTAGAAATGTGAGTGTACTTAAATGCCTACTGTATTGCAGCCATGAAAATATTCAGTGTAGTATGTAATAGATTATTATGGAGCGGTTTGGAACAGAGAGAATAGATGAATAGAGAGTAGATGAATGGATATAACAATGGGCCGAGTGAACTCTTTTCAAAGAGCGGCACAGACACGATGGGCCAAATGGCCTCCTTCTGTGCTGTATAATTCTATGAAGTCTTACTTAAAGGCCTCTTCCATTGAGTGCAATATGAGGTTTGCTGCTCCGATTGGTTCTGCTCCTGGAAGTGATGTTGAATCCTCCCCACAGTATAAAGAGGTGTTACAGAACGAAGGAAATAGAACTCAAAAAATATTGTGTTATTAAGTCATACAACCCTTCTGCTCAACGGGATGTGGCAATAAACAATAGCAAAAGAAGATAGAACAGCTAATTCAACAGTCTTGCTTTCTTGTCCTGCCATTTAGCAGACGCTGTCCGACTTGGAGGGCGCTATATAAATCCAAGTTGTTGTTGTTAGCAGGTACGTTGCTATACACATTACTATGTGGTTTCCTCATTCTGAAGGGCTGGCAAGCCATGTGAACAAAAGCTCCCTCAACACAGGTCAGTCACAGTCACAGAGATTGCAGAAAACAAATTGCCCTCTGTCTCTGACAATGCAGCACATAATTTTTCCTTGGACAGATCTAATGATCCTCTTCCCTGGCTCACAGTTTTTTTTCCAGACTTCCAGCTTTCACATTCATCACATTATTGCAGAATCTCCCACTGAAGGACAGCTATGGTCCCTTCACTCTTTCACTAAACAGTTACAGAAATGTAGGTAACAACAACAAAATTAACATTTGTATAGCACTTTTCACATTGGGAGAGTGTCCCAAGGTCTGGACAATCAGTGTTTGGTACCCGAGCTAGGGTCAGGATTGTGGAGGGCGGTGGGGAAGCAGGGTGATCGAAACCACAGTCTTGAATTAGGCAAGGCAGGGGGTGAGGTAGAGGGACTGCGGGATGGAGTTCCAGAGGGTGGGGGCAGAGTGGCTGAAGGCCCGCCCGCCAATGGTGTGGCGGGCGAGGTGGGGGACATAAAGCAGGCCAGAGCCCACTTAGCGGAAGGAGCAAGCAGGTTGGTAGGGGGTTAGGAGGTCACAGAGGTAGGGGGGGAGCAAGGCGATAGAGGGCTTTGAAGGTGAGGACCAGGATCTTGAAATGTATCCTCTGTGTGATGGGAAGCCAGTGGAGTCAGGCGAGGATGGGGGTGATAGGGTCACGGAGCCTGGTGTGGGAAAGGACAGAGGCTACAGAGGTCTGGATAATCTGCAGCCTACGGAGGAAGAGTTGGGGAGGTCGACAAGCAGGAAGTTTGATTGTCAAGCCTGGATGCACAGGCAACCATAGAATCATAGAAATGTTAACACAGCAGAAAACCATGCTGACAAAAAGTCATTTATACGACTCCCAATTCCCTGTACCTCTAATACCCTTCCTCTATCTGCCTACCCAATTTTCTTTTAAATGCCCCCAGTTGACTCTGCTGTGAAAGCCACCCAGTTCATAACATTCCCTACTCACTGGAAAAAGTTCTTCACTTGTGACTGGCTCATGCCCTCCCTGTATTCAGCCACAAAGTGTTTTATGTGCTATCCTTCAAACAGTCATTAATTCACCAAGAGAGCTTACAAAGAGAAAACACTCATACGCATCCTCGTTTAAATGTAATGTTAAAAATTTTGTTTCCCATTTCCACACATTAAGAAACATAAGATCAATACTGAAGAAAAAAATTCACTTAGACCATTTTTACAATTAGAAAATGATAATCCACAGTGTATGTACATCACACAATGTAAGTAAATTACGCTTGAATTTCTGATTTGGGAAAAGGAACAAGAAGGATGCTAGTCCACACTGATGTGTGTTCCATGGTTCAGACTAGAAATATCTTGCCTGCTGGGCTGACTGTAACAAGGAGCAGACCAGCTACAGGTCAGCAATCTTAAAACGCTGTGTTGGTCTTGTGTCTCTTGTGACTAAACTGCTGTAGCCTGGGTCTGAGATACGAGTTGACTGTTTGTACGGTTCCACTGAATGACTGCATTGACTAAGTGGTTTCCGCACAAAGCCATTACACAGGGTATGCAACTACTCACTCCAAAATACAGGAACGTCTGAAGTCTTTAGCAGAGATCAAGCCACACTCACTGTCCATTATGTTTCTCTCCCCAACTTTTTCTCAGGAATGTCTGCTTTAGTTTTTGGCTGGAACAGCAGAAGGTTTAGGCTTTTGAGCTTAGTAAACCATCTCTCCTCAAAGTCAGGGTACGACTCCATTATGGCACCGGTCGTCATGGATGAATTTGGAAGAGCTGCCAACCTTTCATTTTCTGCATCATCATTTTTAAATCTGTCCATTGAAAGATCATCCCCCATCACCTACAAAGCAGACAGGACCCCAAGGAATTTAAAGTTAATGTTCACTGCAAAATGTGTGACAGAAAGACAAGTTGTGCTTATATAGCTCCTTTCACGTAAGATAATATCTCCAAGGATCTTACAGGGACATTGCAGAATACCAAGCAAGGTGAGAAGAGAAGGGGAAAACTGTGACCAAAGGCATGGTTGAAACAATAATAACACTTGCATTTGATATAGCGCCTTTTCACAAAGCGCTTTACAGAATATACTGTAAAGTGAATTGACTGTATTTGTGGGAGAAACACAGCAGCCAATTGCACACAGCAATGTCCCACAAACAGATATGGATTGAGTGACCACATTTAAAAACATTTTTTTGAAGGGATTGTTTTCCCAGGAAAAGTAATCCGTCAATCGACTAACAACCAGGTTCCTACTAACAACAATTGGGCAGAAAGCCAATGGAACATAATAAAGATGGGAGCGATGGTTATCTGGAGCCTCATGCAAAAGAGGATACAGGCTGCCATTTGTGGAGTGTGGCACACTCAAATGATTGTGAATTCAAGTCTAAAAGTCAACACGATGTGAATGGAGTTATTGGTTTTAAATGAGTTTTATGCTGAGATCAAATGTGCCAAGACTCACCGTCCAGGTTCACACATGAAGAATAGACATTGGTTAAAGTACCAGGGGTTTCCACCAGCCATGTAACCACAAAGTAAGTTGGCACCTTCAGGAGGAGTGGGGAGAAAGGCCAAACATGTACGTATAGCATAATCCATCTGACTCTTCCTGCATCGTGGTCATCTCTGGTTTATTATTTCAATGTGAACATTGGTACACAACAGTCTAGTATTCGAAACTGACCATGTAAAGCACAAGATGCCAATGTGTTTTTCTTTGCATTTAAAAAAAATCCTTTCAGCCAAACAGAATTGGTGGCACTGTGGATAATTAGAGCTGAACCAACTGATCTGCAGTATAATAAACCAGTTTATTTAAATGCCACTTCAAACAAATTCCGATACAGGCTGCCTGTACAATACAAGCTTCCAGACTCAGTAAAAAACACTGATACACTGGGCTCCTTTCCAAGTGCTTTCAAGTGCTCTGACTTGTACAGAATTAAATTGCATACATGTGCTTGGAAACCAATAGGTTTTGATACAGTTGAAAATAAAACAGCACATTCTGTTCTGCCAGCCCAGACTTTAGGCAACAGTCAAAATCACCTACCAAAATGTGGAATGTATGCTTGCAAATATTTATTATGTTGTTTCTTCAAAAATGAACAAATATGTTTCAAAAACATCTCGTACCTTTGATGGATGAACATGTCGAAAACCCTTACAAAAGACCATAGGGTCACTGAGCAGGAAGGAAGATTGGTGGATGTTAACCAAAATGCACAGTCAGAGACAGGTTTTTAACCATACTGAAGCAGGAAGAGAAGATGCAAGAGATTTTAAAGTAGCTTTCCATGCTTTTTAAAAAAAAACAAGCAGAGGCAAGGTCTGAAACATCTGCTTGGGTGCTTGGTTACATAAGTGAAGCTCAACTTAGTCCAGCAATCTACAACGCCTTCCATATATGCTGCATTTCTATTTGGCTGTTTACGCAGCTTGTTGAAGGGAACAAGCAGATGGTTGTCCTAAGTTTGCCGTGTCTAATTGTGGCCAAATTTGGTCGAGGCTGGGCTGTTCATAAAGCATCACCATTTTAAAGAAGTGCCACTGTGCAAGTATGGCATACTGCAAATCCTTATTTATATGCTGTTGTTAAACTGCAAAGTTTATCCAAACCTGTGTTGACCCATCGGAGGCATATATTCACTTTGACTCTCCCTCACTTCCCACCCAACGCACTACCCTGAAATAGAGGTGAGTTTCAAAATTGTGTCTGTGTAAATACATTCACAAATGACTGCCTTAATTGTTTATAATCAGTAAATAATAACTTGCCCGACAATATTAATAGTATTAGTAATGGAAATAGCATTGATTGGATTGTAACCAGCTTGGTTGCTAAACAAGAACAATAATTTGGAAATATATTGCAGCTCTCACATAGGATTAACATATTGAAGTGATTCATGGACATATTTGGGAGCACCAAACACCAAGTACTGAGGCAGAGGAAGGGAATTTAGGATGTTAAGGTGCAATCAAAAAGAGTTTTTTTTAAAGAGGGTTCTGAAGCCAAAGGGGAAGGTGCAAAGTAGTTTGGAAGAGTGCTCCAAGGAGTTAAGGCATAATGGCTGAATGCTTGGCTACCGATAGAGGAAGGCAGGAACGAATGGTTGAGTAGTCCAATAACAAAGGCAAGAGAATATGGCAGGTGCTATACACGAACGGTGCTATATAAATGCTATTTGTTGTTGTCGTGCAGGAGGGGATATGGGCGGCAGAGCTTTGGATGAGTTGTTGTTTGTGCAGGATAGAACAAGGCATGATTGAAGACTATCCTTGAGGTGACAAAGTGATCAATTAAGTTTTTTCAAAGCTGTAAAAGATAGGGAAGCAGGTGGGAAAGGTTTTGGAGAAAGAAGAAGGTGGTTTTGGCCACAAACCAAAAGTATGGTTTGAAACAAAGCTGTGGGGTCAAGCAAAACACCAATGTTACACATTACTCAGTTAGCCTGGAGTGAGCAGCTAGGGAGATTGAGAATCAGAGCCAGAGCCAAGAAGGCACAGGTAAGGGCCAAACATGAATTAGTATTGTATTGCCTTTCACCTTGAGGAAGTTTTAAGACTCCATCCAGGATATGATATTGATCAGACAGTCGATCAAAACAGCAATGGCTCTGGAAGTGAAGGGGGAAACTTACCCAAAATTCCGCCGCCAGGATTCTAACCTGCATCAAACTCTAGTAACTAGAGTAGGAATTTAGTTGCAAACTAAACTGTGTTAAAGTGGAATTTTCATAAAGTGGTGCAGCATACTTCTGGTTTCCATATTAAGGAATCCAGTTAGAAATAGCTGTCTATTAACAACAGGAAACTAAACTCAACTATACTGTACCTCAGTTAGTGCACTTAGCGCCTCCTCCCGGAGCCCCAAGTTGAAGACCTCTTGTGCGATCTCCTCTTGGGCATTCAGGTTCCTCTCCAGAACAAACGAAGACTGCTGAGGCTTCACCATCTGCAAAAGAAGTCTGATGGCAGACAAAATGACTGACTGTTTAGCATTCCTGACTTGCAAATCAATTCACTGCACTGTAAGGTAGCTGCAGCAATACATACATTGAGTTTTCACACTCAGTGAAACTGGACACAGATTTATCAGCTCAAAAGCTGAATTCACCGCGATGCCGGTATTTAATTATAACTTCTGTTATTGCAATCCTTAGAGGGTGCAGTTTGAGAAATAAAACAGAATAGAAAATAAACAAAAATGTATTGTTAGGTGGTAACAATTGTAGTTTAGAATATATTTACATGTAATCTGACATTATGTAATCCTTACATTTAGTATAGCACCTTTCACATTCAGGAGAACATCCCAAAGCGCTTCACCAGAAATACTGTAAAGAGTAATTACTGTGTTTTGAGGCCGAACTAGTTTCAACTGAAGAGAAATCAATTTAAAAAAAACTTCATGGTTTAGACTCATCTGAATTGAGATATCGGTACACTGAGGCACACTCCTAAGTAGAAGTCATGAAGTATCAAAAAAACTATTATAAATTAAAAAGTGCTTTTCATCTGATGAGGAAATTTGAAGGTTACCAAGGTAAATGATAAATACTTATTCACAAACAAGGTGACTTGAGTGTAATTACTCATGACTTTACAGTAGTGGTCAACATACAGTATGACAGATTTGATAGAGAAATGGCACATCTTCTTAACACAGTATTTCTCATGTGAAATACTGTGTTACTAATAGCACAAGTTTCTTTACGCTTCTGTTTACCTTGCAGTAAGCAGTAAGTAGAAACCCGGTTCTTAGTCGATTGGCGGATCGCTTTTCCGGGGGTAATAAACCCTTAAAAAAATATTTTTAATAATAATTTGGTCACTCAATCCACAATTGTTTGTGGCACTCTGTTATACGCAATTGGCTGCCACGTTTCACCCACAAAATATACTTTATATATACCACTTTATAGTATATTTTGTCAATCCACTTCACAGTATATTCTGTGAAGCACTTTGAGACGTATCGAAGATGTGGTGCTATATCAATGTAAGGATTATTATTATATTGTGTGCTTACCTTGCTCTTACCAAGGAGGAGCATGTGAAAAGCCATAGGTCATCTAGATTTACTCGTGTCTCAGAGCTGCATTCTACGTGATCTGCACCACCTGAAAGAAAGCAGCTGCTGTTTTCTGCTCCTTGTGGTCTCTTTCTACAGTCTGCAGCCAAGTTGCCATTTTCTTCTTCAAGCAGACTGGCACAATCCCTTTGCCCTATGTGGCTTTCACTCAGAAGTTTTGATCGCGTACAGCCTTGAGATGAAGCTTTAGAGATTTCAGTCTCCGTTGATGTTACACCAATTGACTTTTGTTTGGTACAGAGTACGTTCTTGTGGGTCAGGACTGTTAACCCCACTGGAGATGATATGCCCTGAACAAGACGCAGATAAGTTGCAGCCAGTTTTTTCCAGGACCATGGGTTGAAAGGATGCAATGAAACTAGCTCTTGCAGGCAAGAAAGTTCTTTAGTCAAGCACCCAGCACTCTGATAAATCAGAATAAGGAGGTTGAGCAATGCTGTTAGATGGTCTGTGTTCGTTACCTCGAGTCTCTATCAAAGAAAATAAAAATATAGATCATTAAATAACAATACACAATTCAAGGGTACTTTATAAAATGCTTAGGAGCTGGGGAGGAACTTTCCAGGAAATCTTTTTCCCCTCCTAATTCGCCATAGTTTTGTGGTTTTTTACATTTTTTGAAGAGGGGGAAAAAGGGATGGAGAGGCAGAGGGAGGGAGAACACATATATATGTACAGTATGTATAATAAGATGCCTCTGGATTAGAAGGTTGTGGATTCAACTTTCAATTCACAACAACAACAACAACAAGATTCCATTTATAAAGCGCCTTTCACGTCAGGAGGACGTCCCAAGGCGCTGCACAGTTGGGTCATGACCCGAGCAGGGGGGAAATGGTCAGGGTGAGGGAAGGGAGGGAGTGAGGATGGGGGAAATGGTCAGGGTGAGGGGAGGGAAGGGAGGGAGCGAGAAGGGGGAAGAGAGTCGAGAGGGGAGCTGAAGGCTCGGTCAAAGAGAAAGGTTTTGAGACCGGCCTTGAAGGAGGAAAGGGAGGAGGCGGTGAAGGCACTGGGGGATAGAGTTCCAGAGCCTCGGGGCTGAGAGGCTGAAGGCCCGGCCACCGATGGTAGGGCGGTTGGGGCGGGGGACGTGGAGCAGACCGGAGCCGGAGGAACGGAGGGTACGGGCAGGTAGGTAGGGGGATAGTAGGTTGGAGAGGTAGGAGAGAGCAAGGCCGGGAATGGCCTTGTAGGTGAGGATGAGGATCTTGAAATCAGAAATTCAGAACTTGAACTGCAAGTAAATGTCACTGAATTGTCAGAGATACTGACTTTAAGATTAAGCATTAAACAGGTCCTGTTTACCTGTTCTTCAGATGGACGTTAAAAATCCTGTTGTAATGTTTAAAAAGAGAAGGGATTTTTTTCTTGGTTTCCTGGCCAACATTTCCTCAAATAAAGTAGTTAATCACTTCATGGTTGAATATAGTGGAGCTACTGGAGCAAATGGCTACTGCATTTGTTTACAAAAACAGCCACTGTTCTCAAACTATGTGGTTTCTTTTGTTAATTAGCAGAAGGAATGCTTTGACAACCACAACAACTTGGATTTATATAGCGCCCTCCATGCCGGACGGTGTCTCAAAGAGCTTTACAGTAACAGATCCCAGGGCCGAGCCAGGGGGAGGGGAGGAAGGTGACCAAAGGTGCGGTTAAAAAGAAAGGTCTTCAGCAGAGACCTGAAAATAGGAAGAGAGGGGGCGAAGTGAAGGGAGTGAGGAAGGGAGTTACAGAGCCTTGGGGCATAGTGGCTGAAGGCACGGCCACCGAGGATGGAGCGGAGGACTCGGGGAGCAAGGAGATGGCCAGACCCGGTGGAACAAAGGCAACGGGCACTGTTATAAAGAGAGAGATCAGAGAGGTAGGGGGGGTGCAGAGGAGTGGAGGGATTTGAAGACAAGGGTGAGGATCTTGAAATCGATCCTCTCTGGGACAGGGAGCCAGTGCGCTCTGGCAAGGATTAGGGTAATCGGGGAGCGGAGTTTGGTGCGGGTAAGAATGCGGGCGGCAGAGTTTTGTATAATCTGGATTTTATGATTGGTAGTGGAGGGGAGGCTGTCGAGGAGGGCATTTGAATAGTCCAGCCGAGAGGTGACAAAGGCATGGACCAGGGTTTCAACGGCTTTCGGAGAGAGGTATTGGCGGAGACAGGAGATGCGTCGGAGGTGGAATGGTAGGGGGTTAGGAGGTTGGAGAGGTAGGGGGGAGCAATATCGTGGAGGGCTTTGAAGGTGAGGACCAGGATCTTGAACTGTATCCTCCGATGGGAAGTCAGTGGAGTTGGGCAAGTATGGGGGTGATACGGTCGGGGAGCTTAGTGTGGGAGAGGATACGGCTGCAGAGTTCTGGATGATCTGCAGTCTGCGGAGGGAGGCGTTGGGGAGGCCGACAAGCAGTGAGGCTGCATAGTCGAGCCTCAATGTAATGAAGGCATGCATGAGGCTTTCGGCAGCCTGTGGTGTGAGACAGTGTCGGAGTCGGGCGACGTAGTATAAACAGCTTCACTAATATCTAGAATCACACACTACTTTAAATCTGCCCTAATCTACACATTCTGTTCCTCCAAATCAGGTGCTGGCAGCCAGTGTTAAAAAGCAAAGAAAATCAATGACAAAGTCATGATCTAGGCCACGGAAATGCTGTCTATTTAAACAATGAATTTTCAGATATTCCTTGATGTATTCCTTGTACTAATTAACACTAGGAAAGGTTTTAATAGTTATTAATTCATAATTTCACACTGTACTAGACATTAAGACTGACCAACTCTTGGGCAATCTCAAGTGCCTCTTCCTCTCTGCTCAAAAAGCATAGGCATCGAGCTCGGGCCTCCAGCAGGTCTCTTCTCAAACCTATGTTCGTCTCTGGGACCAAGGCCAAGCTACTCGTGTATTCACACAATGCTTTCTGGAGGCAAATGAGAAAGGAATGACTGAGAGTATTATACACAACAAAACAACAACAAATTACATTTCATGTGAGGAAGACATCCCAAGGCGCTGGACAGTCATGGATTTGGACCCAAGCAGGGGTTGGGATCAGGGGGGTGGAGGGCAGGGAGGGTAGGTGTAGGAGAGTGGCCAAAGGCACGGTTGAAAAGGAGGGCCTTCAGCCGTGCTTTGAAGGAGGTAAGGGAGGGAGCAAAGCGAAGGGTTGTAGGATGGAGTTCCAAAAGGTGGGGCCGAGGCTGAAGCCCGGACCACCGATGGTGGGGTGGCTGGGTGGGGGATGTGGAGCAAGCCGGAGCCTGCTGAGTAGATGGAGAGGATAGGTTGGTGTGGGATTAGCAGGTCAGAGAAGTAGGAAGGAGCAAAGCCGTGAAGGGCCTTGAAAGCGAGGATGAAGATTTTGAACTCTATCTACTGGGGCAATGGGGAGCCAGTGGAGCCAGGCGAGAGAGGAGGTGATAGGGTCACGGAGCCTGGTGTGAGAGAAGATACAAACAGAAGAGTTCTGGATGATCTGCAGCTTGAAGAGGGAAGAGTTAGGAAGGCCGACAAATAGGGAGTCGAGCCTAGATGTGAATAAACATACAATCAAATGATCTTTTACAATTACACACAGTATATTTGAAAATCTATAAATCCCCTGAAAAAATATTTTAAAAATGAATTTCAAATCAGATTCCTTCAGTACAGAAGTTAACTAAAAGGACTAAGACATATTAAAGGGGGCAAAACCAAGGTACATACAATTTTAAATGGGATCCAAAGGCAGCAGAAGGGTTGCAAAAAGCAATTTCATGACAGACATGGTGAAGTATTTCTTTACCCAGAGGGTAATTAACAACTGAAAATGGTTACCAGAAAAAGTGTTTTAGGCCAAAATGTTGGATTTTTAAAAAAAAACTTGATATTATAATGGGAGGTCAGTAGGGTGATTATTTTCAAAGGATGAGATTAAATTGATCAAAGGGTCTTCTTCAGCTAAATCTCTCTTGTGATCTTGCAACTATATTTAAACCACTTGAATTTTCTGGTGATGAAAATAGTATGGTTCTATGGCCAAGAACAAAATGTGCTTTATGCAAATATAACAATGATTAGAATATTACACAAATAACTACCACAATATATATTTCTAATAAACATTTGGACCTTCAGATACCTGATATTGTTGACGTCTGAATGCTAAATCGCCTCGAAATTTCAATGCTGTCAACTTCTCAACGTCATCATCGGTGCATATTTCGGCACTAAACCACTGTAATTAATCAGACAACAATGTTGAAAACAAAGTTGGAATGGCTTACAAAATAACAGCCAATGTTAGATCAGGCCTGTTGTATCTTCCAATATGTTCTGAACATGAAAAGTAAATTAAAACTAAACGCTTCACGACAGCCAGCCTAATTTAAATAGAGATAGCGGGGAAGATGCAATCACTAAAAAAAAACAGCATGGACAAGTGATCTAAAGTTTTGAGTTAAACCTTCATCAAATGTAGACTCATATCTCAAATCTCAGCGCTATGCTTTGCTTTATCACAAAGACCTGATGAGGTTGAGTTCATAGCAGCATTTAAAGGTGAACTGAATGCATATCTGTAAAAATAATATGAAAAGGTACAGTGATTAGAGTAGATAACTCCAGTGGGGGAAAGTTTACCTGAGCACGATGGGCTGAATGGCTCCACTCAGTATTGTTCTACAAATTCTACCAAAACAGAAATTGCTGAAAATGCACAGCAGATTGATCAACATTTGAAAAATAAGTTAACTCTTCAGATATAACACATCATCAGAAATAATGAATAGGGGGCAGTCCTGAAGGGGTAGTGAAGTGGACAGATCAGTCTAAATTGGCCCCAAAGCCTTTCAAAGATTTAGAAGTTAAAATCAGCTGTGTTTACTATCCTTATCCTTCTTCAGCACCTTCTACTGGTAATGCACACATGGCAGCAGGGTGAGGAGGTCAGGCTCAGCTGTGAAACCCTCTACTGTAGCCGGCTGGCACTCAATGCCATTCTCACACATGTACAACGACACCAAAGGTAGTGTCCTAGAAAGCAACCTGCTCTCACGAGGACCAGAAGCAGAAGCATTCAGCAGTGGGGAGAAAAGTTAGTTTTGTTCCAAAAAATGAATGAATGGATAAGAGAAAACCTTCAAATACAGACATTGAGAAAGGCTCAATTGTTTAAGTACCAGAAAGATGCAACATCTGTACATACGATGCAAAATTACATTTGTATAGCACTTTTTACGTCGGGAGGACGTCCCAAGGCACTGGACAGTTGGATATAAGGAAGGACATAAGCGGCTTAAATGAATACCACAAATTATTTCAGACCAGTTTCATGTTGAGATAACTGAATACCCTGCAGCCCAAACTCACAATTCTTTCCAAAGTTGTTGTAGTTTCATTCACTCGTTTCTTTATGTTACAGGGCATTTCCCACAGTACACTGACAGCCGAGGGTTCAGCCACTTATGTCCCTCTCTCTGGAATTCTCTTCCAAACTCTCTCACAAAATCCCTCCACCCCTAACCCTCCTTCTCTGCTATCAAAAATCTCTCTCAAAAACTATTCCTTTCTACCCCTTCTATTTTCCAACTTGCTAAGGCGAGACGTTACCCTATGAAAGGTGCAAGTTGTTATAACTAAGGAGAGTCGTTTCCAGTCTTTACCTAGTACTGTCCCTGAGCAGGCAGCACAGAGCTCGTTCCAACAGGTTGACTAAGTTGGGAATTTGCCAAGTACTGCTTCGCTTTCCCCTGGACGTAACAATTTTGACAATGTGCAGGTTCAATAGGAGTTTCCAATTATCAGTGAAAATATGTGTGAAAGATTGTCTGGTGTGGAGAATAAATACCGGCACACACTGGTTGGGACAAATGGGCTGTTTTCATGCTGTATCTATCATTCTATGTCATTTTATATAACATCTTGCTTCAATTTAACATCTCTTTCTCTTCTTCTCCACCCCGGAAAACACAGCAACAATTGGAATTATTCTATTTAGACAACAATTTGCATTCACATATACTGTAGCACTTTTCATGTAAAAATCTAATTCTTATAAAGAATTTTATAAAGAAAAATTGATCAGAAATGAATGTTTTATTGTACTGGCAAACATGGCAGCTAATTTGCACCAGCAACCTCCCAAAAAGAGACCAGCAGTCATTTACTGTATTTTGAATTTGGAGATCCATTGAATAAGGAGAAGAATATAATTCAGGATCCCTAGGAAAAAAGCTCTACATTTCTTGGAAATAACATGGATCACAAGGCTGGCAGAATTTAAATCAATGAAACAGTCAAAAACAAATCACAATCTGGAAACAGATAACTTTGTATTTAATATACAATGTTGTTATGCAGCCAATCTGAGCCAGCAATGTTCCACAAAAATGCTGAGTCAAATTAATTACACGTTACAAGGCAGATATTTGTGTGAGTGTGAGGAATTTCATACATAACCCTGAGATGCCGTTTAATATCATTTTAAAACTACTTTGTGTGTTTTAATTTCAATCAAGGCAATAAATAGCATGTATGAAAGGAAGGAACACCTGATTAGATTCTGAGACACTCTCTCAATTTTTTCGGGGTGACTGATGGTCATGCATAAAATCCTTCAACCAGGAACACAGTATTCATTTGAAGAGAATGATTTGCCCTAAAATGTTGCTTGATTCAACAGTTAATCATGGAGATGTGCACACTATATGCTCTGCAACTCAAAGTGAAAAAAGTGCTCACATTTAGACAAGCGTTGCTGAAATGCTTTCCTCAGTCAGCTTATCTGTACCCAGCCTTGCTTCACTTTGAATTTTACCAGAGAAATAAGCAAGATATTCATCAGAAGTAGTCATTAGCTCCCTCAAAGGCTCAATTGCCGAAGCCATTAAGTCCTGAAATGCTGTGCATCTCGGCTTGGGAGAGGGTAACAACAATCACATTGTTATGATACAATCCCTGCTGTAAAGTACAAATGTGGACAGCTAAATGAACAAAATCAGGCTCATATGTGATGCCATCACGCTCAACAGATAGTTTGCTAGCACTCTCTGTCCAGGTTCACACATCATCACAATAATAATCCTTGAATATGATATAGCACCTTATCACGTGGTTGAGACATCTCAAAGCGTTTCACAGAATATATTGTAAAGTAAATGGACTGTGTATTTTGTGGGCGAAACATGAAGAATGACTGCTTGGTTCAAGTACTGGAAAATTATTGCTGCTTGCACAAAATATCCCACCATGAGGCTCTGTGCCTTGAGAGGCAGAAAAAAATTACCACACTTCCAGTTAGCGCAGGTCCACAGGAGAGGGCAGGGGGAGTGATATGATGGGATTCCCCCGTACGCTCTAAATGGTAGCATTCTCAAAGAAGTAGGGAAAGAGCAGGGATCAGGTGAACACATTTTTAAACGTGGGGCTACAGGTGAGAAAAGCAATCAGCATACGGAGGGTAAATTTGCAACATTTCATAACGGATTAGGCACGGAATTTCAGCTAATAATCGACTGGTTTAAAGACAGAATAACATCCCTACAGCTTAATATAATGGTTTGCACCCTGGGAGATTTTATTTTAAAAACCTTGTTCTGCATCTTGGATTTCAGCCTGATCCAGAACTGCAGAGAATTGTCGTCTTATCAGCCAAGAAGCAGCATCTGAAACTGCTTATTACACAATACTGGCTGAATTAACCCACTATCTCTATTTTCAGGCGGCCAAATCCGCTGTTTTCTGCAATTGGAACATGGAGATATTTGGGCCTCCAGCTCAAATATCTCGCACAGGTGCTCTCGCCCTACTAAACATTCCTAATCCATGAGCATATACAGTGAGCATTAGCACAAGCACTGTAACTTTGGCTACTACTCAACCCAATCTTGTCTTCATTTAGTTGTGCGCACCCCCCCCCCGCCCAACTTCCTGAGCTTTGGGCAGTGAGGTATTTTTAGGGAGGTGATTTCACAGGAAATATTGTGAAGTGGAGTGACAGGGAATTTGGGGGCAAATATGGAAAGTCTGCGCAGGTAGGTGTATTATAGCCAGCGCAGATATAATGGGTGAACAGCCTCCTCTTCTGCACTGTGAATTTAATCATCTGTCGTACTTAGTTAGAACCCTTGGACCATCCTAAGCATTTGATATCGCGCCTTTCACACCTACACTATGAGTTCAAACAACCAAAGTGGAGCTTCAACTAGCTGTACTACTTGATGAGGACCCCGGGACCCAGCATCTTTGGGAATGATTTGACATGAAGACCTGTGCTCCATCAGAGCTCTGTACTCCACACTGCCTCTTTTTAGGGCTGAAATTCCAGCTGGATCTTGGTACAAACCATTATTAAGAGAGAATTGGAAACCTGTTAACCTGGAAGCCCAAATTGCTCCTGGGTAGATGAGCAGAAAAGAACGTTGCTGGACAGTGCTATCAATGACAAGCGATAATATAATAAATCTTTGTATTTGATATAGCACCTTATCACATCTTTGAGACATCTCAAAGCGCTTTACAGAATATACTGCAAAGTGAACCGATTGTATATTTTGTGGGTGAAATGTGGCAGTCAATTACGCACAGCAGAGTCCCACAGACAGTCATGGATTGAGTGACCAAATTATTATTTATTTATATATATATATATATTCCTTAATTTTTTGAAGGCATTATTACCCCGGAAAAGCGATCTGCCAATCGACTAACAACTGGTTCCTACTTATTGCTGGGTAAACAACAACAACAACTGTAAAAACAGGCATGTGATTGGTTTGGCTGGTTATACTTCAGCAGTACCCTCAACACTTACCCCTTGGCTCCAGCCAATCTGCAGCAAATACTGCAGAGTTAGGTAAGCAGGGCGCATTCCTCCCCAGGAAGAGATTGCACATTCTTCCCAAATATTCTACAGGGAACTTTTCCATGCATACCTGGGAATTTGCAGGACATTAATGTAATTGACTATCACGTTAATGTAACTGATTGTCACACAATACAAAATAGTCACTGGACTTGACAGTAAAAAATCATTTGAGGTGTTTTGATGACATTACAATAATACCCATCTTTGCCTTTCACGCCCATAGGACATCTCAAAGAGCTATAAAGTGACTGTGAATTTCACAGAAGAATGCAACAAGACCCTTTCTCACAGCAATGTCCCATTGAGAAAGCCAAGATAAGAGGCTACATTTCAGTGCAAGGATTATTATTCATGTTTATAAACATAGACAAAGCTCTGAGTACTGAGCTCAGTGCTGTGAGGGCTTCACTCACACACACTCAAACACCCACACTTAAACTCACACACTCACTCACTCACTCAAACACACACTCACTCACTCACTCAAACACACACCCACACACTCACTCAAACACACACCCACACACTCACTCAAACACACACCCACACACTCACTCAAACACACACCCACACACTCACTCAAACACACACCGACACACTCACTCAAACACATACCCACACAAACACACACTCACTCACACACGCACTCACTCACTCACTCAAACACATTCACTCACTCAAACACACACTCACTCACTCAAACACACACTCACTCAAACACACACTCACTCACACACACACTCACTCAAACACACACACAAACACACACTCACTCAAAAACACACTCACTCAAACACACACTCACTCAAACACACACTCACTCAAACACACACTCACTCACTCACTCAAACACACACTCACTCACTCACTCAAACACACACTCACTCACTCACACACACTCACTCACTCACTCACTCACACTCACTCACTCACACACACTCACTCACTCAAACACACACTCACTCACTCAAATACACACTCACACAGTCACTCAAACACGCACTCAAACACACACTCACTCACACACACACTCACTCACTCAAACACACACTCACTCACTCAAACACACACTCACTCACACACACTCACTCACTCAAACACACACAGTCACACAAACACACACTCACTCAAACATACACCCACACAAACACTCACTCACTCAAACACACACTCACTCAAACACACACTCACTCACTCAAACACACACTCACTCACTCAAACACACACTCACTCACTCAAATACACACTCAGTTACTGAAACACACACTCACCCACACACACACTCACCCACACACACACTCACTCAAACACACACTCACTCAAACACACACTCACTCAAACACACTCATAGTCACTCAAACACACTCATAGTCACTCAAACACACACTCACTCAAACACACACTCACTCAAACACACTCATAGTCACTCAAACACACACTCACAGTCACCCACTCACTCACTGGGCCTGGCTGTGAGCGGCTCGGGGCCTGGCGGGGCTCTGTCCCCGGGGCCTGGCGGGGCTCTGTCCCCGGGCTCGGGGCCTGGCTGTGAGCGGCTCGGGGCCTGGCGGGGCTCTGTCCCCGGGCCCGGGGCCTGGCGGGGCTCTGTCCCCGGGTGTGGTGTGAGCCGCTCAGGGCAGTGGTTACCTCGGGGCCGCACAGTCTGGCCTGGTACAGGCCCGGCCCAGGCCCCGGCTCCGGCCTCCGCTCCGGGATCCCCGCGAAAAGCGAGTCATCAAAAGCGGCAAAAGAGCTCTCCATCCCGACCCGAGACCCCGACCAGAGCCCCGCCCACAGCACAGCCCCGCCTCCAGCCCCGCCCACACCCCGCCTCCAGCCCCGCCCACACCCCGCCTCCAGCCCCGCCCACACCCCGCCTCCAGCCCCGCCCACACCCCGCCTCCAGCCCCGCCCCCACCCCGCCTCCAGCCCCGCCCACAGCACAGCCCCGCCTCCAGCCCGCCCACACCCCGCCTCCAGCCCCGCCCACACCCCGCCTCCAGCCCCGCCCACACCCCGCCTCCAGCCCCGCCCCCACCCCGCCTCCAGCCCCGCCCACAGCACAGCCCCGCCTCCAGCCCCGCCCACAGCACAGCCCCGCCTCCAACCCCGCGCACACCCCGCCTCCAGCCCCGCCCACACCCCGCCTCCAGCCCCCGCCCCCACCCCGCCTCCAGCCCCGCCCACAGCACAGCCCCGCCTCCAACCCCGCGCACACCCCGCCTCCAGCCCCGCCCACACCACAGCCCCGCCTCCAGCCCCGCCCACACCCCGCCTCCAGCCCCGCCCACAGCACAGCCCCGCCTCCAGCCCCGCCCACACCCCGCCTCCAGCCCCGCCCACAGCACAGCCCCGCCTCCAGCCCCGCCCACAGCACAGCCCCGCCTCCAGCCCCGCGCACACCCCGCCTCCAGCCCCGCCCACAGCACAGCCCCGCCTCCAGCCCCGCGCACACCCCGCCTCCAGCCCCGCCCACACCACAGCCCCGCCTCCAGCCCCGCCCACACCCCGCCTCCAGCCCCGCCCACAGCACAGCCCCGCCTCCAGCCCCGCCCACACCACAGCCCCGCCTCCAGCCCCGCCCACACCCCGCCTCCAGCCCCGCCCACAGCACAGCCCCGCCTCCAGCCCCGCCCACAGCACAGCCCCGCCTCCAGCCCCGCGCACACCCCGCCTCCAGCCCCGCCCACAGCACAGCCCCGCCTCCAGCCCCGCCCACACCCCGCCTCCAGCCCGCCCACAGCACAGCCCCGCCTCCAGCCCCGCCCACACCCCGCCTCCAGCCCCGCCCACAGCACAGCCCCGCCCACAGCCCCGCCCACAGCACAGCCCCGCCCACAGCACAGCCCCGCCCCCCGCCCACAGCACAGCCCCGCCCCCCGCCTCCAGCCCCGCCCACAGCACAGCCCCGCCCACAGTACAGCCCCGCCCCCCGCCTCCAGCCCCGCCTCCAGCCCCGCCCACAGCACAGCCCCGCCCACAGCACAGCCCCGCCCACAGCACAGCACAGCCCCGCCCCCCGCCTCCAGCCCCGCCCACATACACAGCCCCGCCCACATACACAGCCCCCCCACATGTACAGCAGTGCCTCACAAACACATCCCACCACCACACACACATCCCCCCACATACACACCCCCCCACACACACACACACAGCCCCCCCCCCACATACATCCCCCCACATACACACCCCCCACAGCCCCCACACACACAGCCCCCCCACACACCCCACACACAGCCCCCCCCACCTACACACACCCCAACACACCCCCCCCCCACCTACACACACCCCCCCCACACACAGCCCCCCCCCCCCCCACCTACACACACCCCCCCACACACAGCCCCCCCCACCTACACACACCCCCCCCACACACACAGCCCCCCCCCCCCCACCTACACACAGTACCTCCACATACAGTCCCCACAGTGTTGGTCATCTCATGTCTTTGAACATTAAATGCAATGGCCAACAACAAATCAAAAATGTATTAATTTCATGGTTGTGTGTGGGATATTGCTGTGCACGATTGTGCTGCCGTGTTCGCCTACAAATACACAGTCACTCTTCTTCACAGTAAATCCTGTGAAGTCCTTTGGGACGTCCTCCCAACCTGAAAGGTGCTACACCAAACGCACAGATTTTTATTATTATTATTATTATTATTATTATTGTGTGAGAAGTCACTTTGTAACCTGATTCATTGCGTAACAGACAACAGTGTTTACCTCATGAATAGCTCCCTCTGCTGGGTACAGATGTAAAGACAACATACTGTGAAGTCCTGGTAATAACTTGGTTTAACTCGTCACCAGGTCTAAATGCGTCGTGACCTCCCGCCCGATTCTGTGATAGGACAGAGCGAGAGGCCACCGCGTGGCCTTCCGATAGACCAGAAGCCTCTGCAATGCATCTGAGTGTGCACACCCAAGCTCAGCACCAGTCACAGCACCCCTTGTGGCCCGGGAGGACCGATGCCTAATCAGCCACTCGGGATAAATTGTCACTGAGCCACTTTCCCTTGGAATGATGAGTTTATTGTACTCCTGAATACATTCAATGTTGGGGTAGTACATCCTCAACCTGGGCAGTTATAGTCCCACATATCTCTTAACCTCATTCACACTCTTAATCGACAACAATAAGTGTAATAATAATAATGATCCTATTGTCTATTTCTCGATTACCACACCTGGTGATACAGGACGTTCTGTTCGCTTTGATCTGAATTTCATACCTGTTCACTGAGTTTCATTGTCATGGTGGCCTTCTTTGGAACAAAGGCTATCAAAGCTTATCCTGACTACTGAAACCCTTATCCGTGTTTTTTGTCATCTTATATCTTTGAACGTTAAATGCAATTACCTTTTTTTCAAAAAGGGATAATTAATTAAAAGAAATATTTTATAAATCAAACCATGGCTCAAATTCTGCTGGATGCTCCTCTGGACATTAACTGGGCCAAAAGATCATTGTCTATCCATTCAGGTCACCGGTGAAAATCCTACAGAACTTTTGGGAACGAGAAAGGAGTTTCTCCGATCTCACTGTAACACGAATGGTGAGGCTCTGAATCTGCAGGTGACTAGTCAGCTTGCTTTACCTTTCTGTGTCCTTGGAGTCCTGTAGCTCAGTGGTTAGAGCACTCACTTCGCAAGCGAAGAGACCTGGGTTCGATCTCCAGCGGGCGAAATGTTGGGCAAGTTTCCTTACTCCACAAGCCTGTTTACCGAGCAGTAAATAGGAACCCAGTTGTTAGTCGATTGGCAGATTGCTTTTCTGGGGGTAATAATTCCTTTTAAAAAATAAATGGTCACTCAATCCACGACTGTTTGTGGGACACCGCTGTGCGCAATTGAACTATCTCCCACAAAATACACAGTCACTACACTTTACAATATATTCTGTGAAGTGCTTTGATACATTTAGAAGAGGTGATAAGACACTATATCAAGTACAAGGATTATTATTATCACTGACCTGGAAAGCTGCTTAAAAACGTAAGTCTATCCTATAATCATGTACCCAGGTTTCACCAGAGGGGAAATACCCATAGCTGTCAAAGAAAAAATGTTATATCTGAGGGTCATTAAATTCCTTTCCCTTCAGAATTATAATTATATAGTCAAAGAGAAGAATGTTAATGAGATAACCAACCAGTTAGGGGAACTTTCTTCATTGTCCATATTGTTTTCCAAAAGACTAAATTGAACTTTATGACATGCTGGGGGTTTAGAAAAATATCTAGCAACCATCTGAGGCAAAACTGCACATATGCTTGGGGGCAGAATTTGCCAGAATTCTTCTAACTTTCTTAAGCCTCCAAATGCTAATTTAGTGCCACTGTGGAAGGCACTAAATTGTAGGCAATTTCTCATAAGAGGAATCATTCCCCAGCTATTGCTTTTTTACTTCCCATTGACCAGTGTTGTGAGGATGTGCCACTTTGAGGGTGTGATATTTTGCAGTAATTGTAAGTGTTATTTGTTGTTGCAGTAGAACAGAAACATACACTTTTTTTAAAAAAAAAGGGTATGCAAAGATCACGTTTGAGTGATACTGAAAGTAATGCAGAAAATAAAAAAACTCCATAAGGTGCAATTGGAATTATAAATAAAAGGGATGATGTGCAGAGACAGCTAATGAATGTGCATATTTTCAAGTGATTCCAAATTGAACTCATATAGTTCAGATTGATTCACCACTGCAATGCTGCAGGTGTCCTGAATTGTTGGAAGTGGTAGCTGTTGGATCATGTTAAATCGTGGTCCTAATTTGCCAGTTCAGGTGGATATTAAAGGTACCGTGGCACTATTCAAAAATAATTTATCCCTCTGTCCAAGAATTACTCCAATAAAATTGGTCATTCTGCTATTGTGTGCAAATGGCTACCATGTTCACCTACAAAATACAGTCGCTAAACTTTACAGTATGTCATGTAAAGTGCTTGGACGCACTTCTGAAATGTGAAATCTTCCCAATGTGAAATGTACTGTATTAAATGCAAGGATTATTATAATTTTCTACACACCAGTTAAAGACCAGTATATCCTGGAAAGATATATGCCAAAGATAAAAAAAATGTTAAGACCCCTGGAGAGAAAGAAGTACTTGTCGATCTTATACTCAGATGTTCAGGAGCATTCTCCCTGTCATTATCAGGAATGGCCTTCCTATGTTGCAGCTTATGTTTATTTCTCTCGCTGATAGGCCATTACAGCAGTTTATTCAAAATGTTCCTGGAGAGCTGACTGTGTGTGAGAAGCTGGTGTTTCTAGTATTTTTAAAGCACACCCTCCTCCGCATACAGCTCTTCACCAAAATATGTAGTTTACAATAGCCCTGAAATAATGATTGTAATGTTCTCTACACCATCCTCGCTCCCTCCCTTCCCTCCCCTCACCCTGACCATTTCCCCCCAATGCTCGGGTCCTGACCCAACTGTGCAGTGCCTTGGGACGTCCTCCTGACGTGAAAGACACTCTATAAATGGAATCTTGTTGTTGTTGTTCTTAAGATTGTAGCAATTCAGGGTTAAAAAAATCATACGGTGTGATGATTACATTGTTAATATGATCCAAGACAGCCAATAATTATTTACTGGCTGTGGGTATGAACTCTGCCCCATGTATTTCGTCCAAAGTAATTTTCAAAATGTGGTGCTTTAAATTAATCCTCATGTATGTTGAATATGTCACTTAAATGAAAGCACTAATAATTACAGCAGTGAAACATGAAGTAATGTAAAATACAAGAAGTCCATACATCACAGAATGAATGTTTATTTTGAAACATACAATCATCTTAGTCAACGGAAAAGGATTTCTTAAATCTACAAAGCATTAAAACTTCAAGACAGAATTACACTAGAGAACCAAACAGATGGCATATTTATCTGCAGCAGTACAACAGATACAATAATTCAGAAATAAGCCTACATAAAATCTTTGTTGACCCCATCAACAGCACTTTAAAGGTTAATGTATTGGAAAGCTCCTAAAATGGCACTATTGCTGGCTGATGTGACATCACGTTGGATGTTCACATTGAATTTTAGATCTCACGGTTTTGTTTATAAAAATCCATTCACAGGACCCTACAGACAGGTGCTTTGACAAAAGAAACAGCAGTGCAAACCTAAATATAGGTTAAAAAGATCATGGAGGCATTTTTAATTTAAGCTTTTTGAAGGTTAAGCCAGTGATTTATTATGGACACTGCCTGCTTCCTGTTCCTCTCACCCCCCACCACAACTCACTACCGATTCATCTTCACTGCACTCTATTCAAATCGAATCCCATTCACGACCTCCAGAAGAGCAGTGATGGAGATCAGTAACTAATTGCATCCCATGCCTCTGTGTTACTCAGTAAAGTCCGAATTGGACCTCATGTTTCCTGAAAAAAACACAGGCCATCAAAATATGTATATTAAGGCTTCAACTATTTTCTCTATTGTATTTTCTGTCACGATTATCACTTGGGGTGTAGGGATTTTATATTTTCAGCTCCATATAATAAAAAATGCTTGGTCCCATTAAAATGATGGTTTGTGACTTGAATGACAACTAACATTTTTTTTAAAAAAATACCAATCTTTAACCTTTCGGTAGCTATCACTCTGCCCAAACCAAAGGTTACATTGACTCAAGGCAAAATCAGCATGGATATGTCTACAAGCAGGCTACCATTTTCCAAGAAATGTTTGGAAAGCTGAGAAACATCCATTTTCTGCTAGTGTTATAATGAAATTAAAAAACATGGTTCATGGCTAAAGTTAGAAATTAAGATACCATTCAGAGATCAGTTTTTCATTTGAAAGCAAGGCTGAGACGATTGATTGTATTAAATATTTAAGTTTAGACAAGGCATGATTTTCAGGATTCCCACTGAATATTAAGACATTGAAGGAAAAAAAAATTCAAATCTGCTTTTGTGAATTAGCAGAGCAGGTACTCAATTATAGTATTTTGGTGCGTGGAATGCCAAAAATAATAGATAACTAGTAGAGCTTTAGTTAGTAATGATCAATCTTTGAAGAGTTTATGCAAATAGTTTTTACTTACATTATACAAATGCATACTTCACCAGCTGTTACTCTAAATGTGATTCAAAATTGTAAAGAGATCAATGTTTTCTATAAAACCCAATAATTGCAGAATTGTCTTAAACCAGGTACATGTAAACTGTCTTACATTTCCAACAGAGCTTTATAAATGTCATCTTTACTCTCAAAAGGCATAAAAATCAAAATTCCTGAACTGAAAGGAGAGCAAATGGTAATGATTTTCAATAAGTAAACCAACCTCAATGCAAATAATTATGACTGAACCGCTAATTACAAAAAATAAGGTATTATCAATCAACATGGAGGTTACATCTCTCAGTACCCTAAACTCAAAAGTATAATAAATAGTGTGAAAAATTAGAACTGGATATCAATTTATTCAAACCACAGCTTGCAACCCTTTTATTCAGAATGCTTACAATACTTAAATACTATATAAATGCAGTACTGTATACATAGAAGCAGCACTTTTCTAATTTCAGCATATGAAATGACTTGCAGAACATATTGAAAAGTACTAGCACTTGGAAATATGGCTTTAGAAGTATTTGGGAAAAATATGATTCTGACTGACATTATTGCCAAACGCACTAACCTCTACAATATACTGCTAGTATGTCATATATATTATATATATAATATATATTATATATCTAAGAGTAATTCAGGGCAATGCGTAAAAGCATAAAGTTGAACAGACAAAATTTCAGAAGCATAGACAAAAAGCATCATGCATAATTAAATCACAAACAATAAATCAGTTTACATTTCTTTACTGATGAATGTTTAGTTTAAACTAATGCTGAATGTTGCTTAATTGCTCAAAGCTTGTTGTAGCTGTTGATAATCACACTGAGCCAAACTATTTGCATAATGTAACGATTATGTGAAGATAGACAAAAAAACTAGTCACTAAAACCTAAAAAAATTAAAGAGAACGTACTCAAAGACAGATCTCCAAAATCAAACCTCAGAGTAGAAATGTATTAAAATCCCAAACTATACAATGTAGTTTCAAAACAATCACTTATGTACAATGATCCTTCCAACTGTAGTATTAAAACTTTGGCACTATTGAAATTAAAAAAAAGCCTCTCATACTGAGCACATAGATATTTCTTTCTGGGAAGTAATCTTGCAGCTCACTGAGGATATCCATAGCCGATTCTCGGTTTTGAATTCTTTGACCCATTTGTCCTCTATGGAGATAAATTTCCAGCTTCTGGAAAAANTAAAATAACAGGTAAAATGACCTTTGGTCATTGTTTATTATACAAAGCATTAGTACCGTTGGAGGAAAAATAACTGCCTGGTGTCTACAAACATAGCATTTGGTTTTATGTGAGGAGAACGTCTCAAAGCACTTCACAGGATTCACTGTAAAGCCTAGCAAATGTGTATTTGTAGGCAAAGCTGCAACCAACCTGCACATGGTACAAAAAGCCATGAATAGAATGATCAATTTTATTTGAGGGATTGTTGGTCAGGTCACAAAGAGAAACTTCCTTCTCTCTTCGAATAGTGCTATGGGATCTTTAATATCCTCCTGAACAGGCAGAAGGGTCCTTGGTTTAACGTCTTATCGAAAGGATGGTATCTCCAATAATGCAATGCTCCTCCAACACTCAACCTGGACTACAAGCTCAAAGTTTCTATTTGGGGCTTGAACCGACAGCCTTCTGACTCAGAGACAAAAGCGCTGCCAACCAAGCCAAGCTGACACCTTTAATAGAATGTATATTAAAATATTATTTGTGGATACAAATACATAATATAAAATTAGGAAGAACAGCTGATGGTTCCAGACTGTACCATTAGCAAATTCTACGGTAACATTTAATTGTACAGGTGTAAAAACCTCCAACTGATGTTTTAAGTATCCCACACTTGTGAGACTGAATTCAAGATTTCAAAAAGTCTCCCTCTCAGATTGCACCCCCCCCACCACTCTATTGCTCTCTTGCTTCTCCACCTATCCCATCCCAGGTACCTGTTACTTACCTGCCTGGCTATTGATATAATTGGTATCAGAATTCAGCACTGCTCGTTCTCATTCTCACTCTCTCTCTTTCTAGTAAGAACAAGCAAATGAGTCATATTAGGAGGCCAGGGCAGTGTTAACATAAGGGTTATACATTAAGAGCATGCTTTCACTGCTATGTGAAGCCCAAATGATGTTTAGCATTTTTAACATTTCTAATTCACAGGATAGCACAAATCTATGTTACTCTATGCACCAGAATGGGAGTTAGGTAACGTAAGGATATTTACAATACGTTTCTTGCACTTCCTTTATAAACTTTTAATCAAGTAAGCTACCCCTCATGAAAAGACATACTGTATAATATCAATTACACCAATTAGTAGATAATTATATAAGCAGTGCCTTTGGAAATTTAAGAATCCTTAAAGATGATTAATTAAGCTACAACAAATCAATACTCCCAAATGGAGTTCGCGTCACTGGTTCCAATTGCTTTGTATCTCATAGCAGTGGAGCATCTTTACTTGTTACATTGAAGCACAAGCCAGAAGTTAACGCTTTAGATTTAGGTACCATATCAGTCTGAGGGTACTTTGCAATACCATTAACCTTGACTTTTCTAGACATCTGAAACCCAGTAATGCACAAGGAACCATACAAACATTCTAAACCGGGGTACAATTTTTTCACATTGCTACAAGACATAAGATGCAGTCTCATATGCTTCTCCAGTGGTTCAGCTGTTAAATGACCCATCTAGTACGTAACTTAGAAGGGTTCTAGACCAGAAGGGTTCTAGACTTGATCTCAGGTCCTCATCTAGCAGATCTCAGCTGCAACAGCCGCAGAGAGCGCCACAATTAGCCTCAGCCCCGAGGGATAAAGAGGAAATAAAAGCCTCTGACCTCTTTCAGAGAATAAGCATAGGATGTGAAACAAGGTCTGTGTTCCGTTTAACTCTGATGCTCCTTAGAGTCACACTGTCTGTCAAAAATACATTGTTCAGTCTCACACCTGAAGAACCTCCTTCACGTGGTAACCGAGGATGCTTGGATCTTTGTTTGTGTAATTGTACTCCAGCATTAGTAAGGCATTCAGGAAAGAGAGGGGGACAAAATAAACAACCACAATCAATTGCACTTTAAGACAATATGGACGTGTATGGCTCGGGAGCCAGACTACAAAATCGCTTCAAGGGATTGATTTGATTCAGGCAATCAATGAAGCGCTCTGGGACGCTGCCCTAAGTGAAGGGCGCTATATAAATGCAAGTTGTTGATTCTGATTTTTCGTTGCCAAGCATGCTCACATAACATTAAACTAAACCCAGCCCTATAGAGACCCTGATTAACTTCTCCCGCCCCCAGGAGGAGTCACTAGTTGGCTACTAAGCATCTAATGACCAATTACTGACTATCAAGTACAGTTTTGAGTTCTTGTTAAGTGAATAGCAGGTGCCAGAACTACTTGAGCGTTCCATGGTGAGCGGGACAACTCGTAAAATGTGAGAGAATCACTACCATCTTACTGACTACAGTCCAGAGGCACATTTACCACTATCCACTGAGTAATGGTTCTTCCAGTTGGATATGAGGAGTTTCAGCAGCAGCTTCTTAACTTTCTGTATACCAAACTAGGTGCACATTCAAGCCCTGAATATATGAGCATGTTTTCATGAATCTGAACAGGTAAAGCTTCCAGCAGCTCTCAAGTCTCAAGGTTATTTGACACATATCTGCTTTCAGCATGGTGGAAACCTACACAGGACAACTTACTGTGTGAGACCACTTGACATATTCTAGAGGTCCACTTCCAATGCTGCAAACCAAGGTACTGTGTATTTATACACATTACGCGTGCCTTCACCTCGCCCAACTCCACTGGCTTCCCATCACACAGAGGATACAGATCCTCCTTGGCCTTGCTCCTTCTACCAACCTGCTCAGTCTGCTCTGGCCTGCTTCACGCCCCACACCTCGCCTGCCATTCGCAGGCAGGCCTTCTGCCACTCTGCCCCTACCCTCTGGAACTCTTTCCCGCAGCCCTCTGCCTCGCACCGTCCCTTGCCTCCTTCAAGACCCTCCTCTTCGACCATACCTTCAATCAACCTCCGTCCCCCCCTGCCTTCCACCTCCCCAATCCCGACCCTCAGCTCAGGTCCGAAACATTGATTGCCCAGCGCCTTGGGACATCCTCCTGATGTGAATGGCACTATACAAATGTAATTTTGTTTTATAGATAACAATGCCACCAATTGCACATATCATAGGCCAACATTAGTTGATTTGTAAATACTAATTAATGATAAAATGCATATCTTAACTAATTTGTCCAACTGTAGTATTTATCCATGTTCCACTATGTGTGCTCGTAAGTGAACAAACCTTGTGCTTTGATGCACCTAGTATATATAACAACAACTTGCACTTATATAGCGCCCTCCACGCAGAGTTGCATCTCAGAGTGCTCAACAGTAGTGGAGCTTGATTCCGAGCCATGGTGGGGGGGTAGTGGGGAGGTGACTGTAAGCATAGTCAAAGAGGAAGATCTTCAGGTGGGACTTGAAAAAGGGGAGAGAGGGGGCAAGGCAGAGGGATTGAGGGAGAGTGTTCCAGAGTTTTGGGGTATAGTGGCTGAAAGCATAACTTCTGATGGTGGGGTGGAGGGTGCGAGGGACGACCAGGAGGCCGGTGCCAGCCCAGTGGAGGCGTCAGGTGGTGGATTGGGAGTGAGGTGGATTGGGGAGTGAGGAGGTTGGAGAGGTATGCATGTCCCCCGTAAATTCCTCTGTGCAGTCTCAGTACAAGTAGAAAGAATCACATTAAAATATGACTAATTTGAAGATTTGCACCAGCAGTGCTCTGTGATGGCAAGTCATAAAGTGATGAAGCATCAACATGTTTGGGGGAAAGAAGGCAGCTATATGCATATGGTGCAGGTCCTGAATCCCAAACAGACAGTTCACTGACCACGTAAGCCAAACTTTGTGCCTGTAATGTTAGAGATGCTGCATAATTTTGTTTGGCACATCCTGAATTCAGCCATTGATTGGTCAAGACCAGTCTGAACAACATCTCTCACCTCTGCCAAATCTTCACTGAGTAACTGTTCCTCACCAGTGGCGTACCCATACTCTGGTCTTTACACTGATTAAGTTGGGGGGGGGCGTTGAAAATTATAATTTTATTCAGGACTTTTTTGGTCCTGCTCCGTGAAAGAGTGCCTTGTGCACTTCTGGTTCCTCTATGTATGCATAAATAAAACTTATTTTGTGCACTCAGCTGTTTAGGCTCAAACCTGTTAAAGATTGTTGATTCAGCTAAAATTCAACCAAGCCAAGAGCGTTGTTTTCACATTGTTTTCGCAATTTAGTCAACACTGTGAAAAGCTTTGAGAAATCCTTGTGACGTGAAAGGCACTATATTAGATGCAAAGATTATTATTTATTTTTAACATGCAACATTAGTAACTGTGTGCTCTTCCTACTCAGACCCTATTGGCATCACCAGGATTCTATGCCAGAAAATATGTGTGTATGTTGGGTTTGGCAGTGCTCGCTATCACAAAATAGAGTGATTTCTTAACTTCCACCAGATGAATCTATTGTCCAGTAAATCTGGTCTTTCGCAATTTTTTAGTGAGTCATCCTTGAATCAGTTGTGGCACCGGTGTTATTTTTTTTAAAGAGCTCCTTCTTCATTTATTGAGGTGCTTAAGAATGATATTGCTAACAATTGTTACTCATGGTGGTACATTTGATGCTAATGGAGTAAAAAAATGAATTCAATCTGCATATCAGAACTGAATGCAATCCACTAAAACACACAAACATGATTTTAAAAAATTGGTCAAATGGTGCTTCTTCCAACTCTATACCCAAGTTAAGTTGAAACTCTAGAATGCATGTATTGATTGAAAAAAAACTGGCCCCTGACCTCGTGTAAGTTTGAAATGATCATCTTTGGGGTTTCATGTACCTGAAAGTAAAATTAACTCAGAACACTAACCCAGACAAAGCCAATTTCCCAGAAATTCTTAAGGTTCTTCAAGAAAACATATCCTGTTGGGCACCTTTCCTAATCTCACTGCTGAGAAGAAACTGTTCTTCAAATTGACATTTTGTCAAGACAGCTGTATAAATTCCAAACAATTCCAGGCAAGATTCCCAAACTATCTTTACTAAATAGGCCAAACCAATCAGATCTATTTAGAAGAGAAACAGAGCAATACTGGGCATT